GGTTCTGACAATCACAAGTTTTGATAAAATAGAATGTTTGCCTTTATGTAATGTCACTGATGGTGTACGGAAGGGAATGATAGCTAAACCTGTGACTGGTTCGCGTGTGAAAGCTGATACATTTCAGATTTTGTTTACTTTAAAACTTTGTTTTAAACCCATTTATATTCAAAGATAACCATGTCAGCCAAAGGCAGCGGCTCTTCCAGTACCTTAAATCAAAATAATAATGATTTCATCTTTAGTCAGAAACCCAGACTTTCTGTAGCTGTCCAATTACAGATTTATCAATGCAGCTCAATGGGAACTCTTTGCAAACCAGGAAGTAAAAGGACCTGTTGTCTTATTGACACCCAAGGGGAGTAACAAGGTTAATTTATAAACGTGACAATTTCTATTGGAATCTGCATTTTTTGCAAAATTAAAAATATAGGACACAGTCTACTCACATAAAGCTTTTCAGCAAGCTAAAGTGATTTAGGGGTCTGGAATATCCCTTTAAGTGTTTGTTATAGGGACACTCCTGGCAACAAAACAACGTCATTTACATGACGTTATTGTGCCAGGAGGCTCCTGGAGGCACTCTTACTAAACTTGCATGGAAATGGTAATTTTTCAAAGATTTTTAATCTGCTGATTGCTCTCAGCCAATCAGCCGTGCCCCTGTCCAGTGGCATTCTGTTTCCTGATCTGAAAATTCCAAAGCTGGATGCCGTCATGGGGAAAGTGGTCATCGCTGATGGCAAAGTTTGGGGTTAAACTGTTCGAGAACGGTTTGACCCCATGAGGTAAGAATGTGCCGGGGGCCTCCTGGCACCATAACAACTTAATTTAGATTAAGTTGTTTTGATGCCTGAAGTGTCCCTTTAAGAATTTTAACCCTAAATAGGAGAACTGGAAACTTAGTTGACCATTCTTCTTATTTAGCTATTGTGGCCTAAAATTTACCTTGATTTGCTGACAATTCAGACCGCAGTGAACAAACTTAAGTAAATGGATTTATTCACTAAACAATTAGTTACATTGACACGAGAGATAACATTTTGTCCTAAAAAGAGAATTTATCTTGATTTGAGATTAGATTTATTGTTATTTAGGTACCTTCATAAACTTGTAAATTAACTATTTAGTTAACAGACGCTGTGATGTACTGTCACAGAAAGGATGAGGTGGATTACTACATGTTCTTAAAACCTTTATTGCAAACAGAAATCCTCACCTGTTGGTCCTTTGGGAATCCAGTCCTAAAAATGAATATCTCAAGGACTAGCCTTTATGGGTACTAAGTTGTTAACCTCTTCTGATTCTGAAAGGCCAATCAGATCGGCCTTCTGTGAGACAAAACAGAAAGTAAAGACCCTAAGTAAAACATTCTGGGCTATTTGAGCCTTAAATAATTTCAACAGAATAAGGTATGGTCTCTATACCTGCTTAAACAACAACAACCTGAACATTTACAAATAATACCTTTTAAATATAGAAAGACTTTAGGTACACCAGTGTAACTTAATGACATGTTTCATCTTCCGTTTCTAGCCCAAAACAGCTGAGATGGAACAAAACTGCATTTGGTCAAATTTTTATTTCGACCTATAATTTGCAACTGCCTGCTCAGTCCTCCACAATTCACAGTTTAGTGAATAAACCCCTTTTCTGTTTGTTCCATTTAATATTGTTGTCTGTAGTTTACAAAGCATTCCTCAGTTTAGATGCAAATAACTCAAAGAGCGGCACCTCAAAATACAATAGATGTACAGCGCACTGCACCCACCACCTCCTCAAAATATCATTTTGAATTGTTTCCCTGCCCAGACAAGGATTTTCTCAGCAGCGAAGGAGCCATTTGTTGTAACTGTGTGTAGCTAGCGGTACTATCCCTTTAAGCGAAGAATGAGGTCTTAACGCACCGTGCAACCTTCCCCTGATTATTTAACATTTTAATTATTCCTTTTTCCTCTGGCTTTGGTCACACAATGTCCTATTGAGTAAACTGGAAAACACAGAACTCACACATTACAGGAATCGTAGGACGGGTTCACCCAAGGACAGGCAGGCCTTAGGCTTAAAATTACGATCTTTGTGTATGATTAACAAAGTCGTGAGCTCACGGGGATGATACCAGCTGATCTTTAGCTGCAGTTCATCTGACAGAGGCATGGGACGGACAATGGGGGAGGGTTAATGAAGGATCTGTGTATTAACAACAGCAGACAATATTATTATCTTAATTGCAGTGGGAACTCTTAATGTTGGATTACTTCTGTGGACTCCCAAAAAAAACCCACTCTGTGACATTTAACGTGAAGCTCTCTTAAAAAAACTGCTGGCTTTATTGGGTACAGCGCCGATCAATGACTTGTTCTCTTCTGTGACCTACAGTGCAGAACGTTCAGACCCAGCAATCACTAGGCAGGAGGAGCGCAGGTAAAATATTAGAGGTTTAATAAAGTTACAGTAGATAAAGAATGACAGGTGCTCGTCTAACAGGTGTGCTCATTCTGCAGGTACCGAGCGGTTTATTCAATAAATATGAATTGTTGTGAATTGAAAATCAAATTTAGGCAAAACTTGCCAAAAATAAATGTCCAACTCCGCTATGTCCACAGACCCTTTTGTTTCGCCTAGATTTTGCATGTTATTTTCTATTCATTATAATTTACTTTTTAGCAAATAAGCCCCTCTTCAATATACATTGAGTTGCAGTGAATTTAAAAAAAAGACCTAGTGACCCAAACACTAAAACTAAAATAGCAGGGTTAAATTTTGACAATTAATTTAAAGGGTTACTTTAAGCACCATGACCACTTTATTGATTTTAAGTGGTAATGGTGCCTGGAATCTGTATGTGCAGCATTAAGCTCCAGGCTGGCTAATGTCACCTGAATGCAAAAATGTCATCTGACGCCAATATACACAGCATGCTGGTGCCAGACAGCCAATGGCGGAAGGCCCCTCCCCTGTCCTCCCTTCAGCCCGTCTTCCCTAACCATTCTCCCCTTCCAGTGAGGGGTCATGACGTCAGGTGAGGAGGTTTGGGCTTCAGGGGGAACTTTGACTTGGCACTGGAGTTTGCATTTTGCATTTATTTTATTTTTCTCAAACTTTGGGGGGTGGGGACCACCTCAGTAGGGTTTACTCTATCCAAAATAAGTGTGTGATGGAACTCTTGTACTCCGACTGAGTACCTCTGCAGGTAGGCTTTCTCAGTGCTACCAGGGACTCTAGAGCACTTCTGAGTGCTCTCAAGCCCCAGGTATCCTCCGATGCATCCTCGCCTTCCTGACCTCCCCTTAAATAGCCCCCAATTTGGAGGTTGGTGGACTGAGTAATATCCACTTAAAGATTGACCAGACCTGAGCCGATGAACAGTTCCACAGTGTTTCAGGGTATCTTCCGGTCAGGCGCTTGATGTGTAAGATGAGTCCAGATGATCCCCAGAATTTCTCAAGACCAAGTATCTGGGACCCCAATACCACTCCATACAGTGACAAGAGTCCTTTTTAGGGGCTCTTGGGACGGGTCCATAGTCTGTGGGCAGGAGACTGACCTTTAGGCATCTCCAAAGTAAGTGGCACAGGAGCTTCTGCCACAAAGTGTCATATGGAAAAACTGGTTTCGGTTGGAGTAACTCTTTAACTATTCTTATATAGCTCTATTGTCTTCAGCAATTGGAAATTTTTCCCGTCTTCGCTATTCTAACATTGTTTTCTTAGTTCGGGTTTTTGGACCACCACAACTAAATGTTTAGTAAATAAATGCCATAATAATAATAAAAAAAATGAGCTATTCATTGTTCTTGGCTCAATAAATGGAAACATTATAGAAGTGAGAGGTTGGTTTGTACAAATTTCACAAAGTATAATTAAATGTTTCAGCCAGGCAACCATAGGGGAGTATTTAAACTGACGGGGTGTTATATACTCAAAGTAACGACAGCATAATGCTGTCACTAATTCTGCCCACATCGGTCCCCAGGAGAATTACTAAATGATTCCTCTGATACTTCAAAACAGGGGGGTTCAAGGGTAAAGGGAGAAATCCTCTCTCAAAAGAAGCTGTGCTACTTACAAATAGAGGAGGAGCTGTGTAGAACTGGTATGGGTGGGCATCAGTCCCCCAGGTTCCGGAGAGCTACCATCAATCCGGAAAATCTGGGTGGATAGCAGAGAATTTCCAGGTGTGGGTACAGGGTTAGGAGAGGTACTAGCCAACTCCCTAGGCTAGTTACCAAAAACACACAGGGTTAATCACTAAAATGGGAATTCAAGGTGAATTCCAAAATTAAGGTGAGAATAGCCAAACTGGAAAAATTCAAAAAAAGTTAGCCTTCCTTCCAGCTCAGGTACTCTGGCCTTAAATTTGAAATTCCATTTGAATTCTCACGTTAGTGAATAACCCTTTCAATGTATGTTCTTACAGCAAAAAGCAGGCGGGCAGACTGGATGGGCCAGATGGGAGCATTTCTTTATCATTTCTTTGGATTCATTCACCTTTGCACATGCAGGAGCAGCCTTTGCCTGTGGTGGATTAATTCTACTAGCTGTCGAAGTCTTCGTATAAGACCTAGGGCTGTGAAGGCAGATATTTGTTAACGTTTCCCATAATGCTGAGCCAGCACTGAGCTCTAAGGGGTGGCCGACCGACTTAGAAATTATAGATCTCAAACATCTGCCAAAGGCAGCCATTGCCACTCTATAGAGAGAGTCCAAGTGCTGAGGAAGCAAAGGGTGATTGCTTTGATGGACCCGGACATCTGAGTAAATGCTTTCATCCTTAATTTATTTTTACAGTGGAATATGTACTATGGAAGAGCTTTAGTGATTTTGGTGCTCAGAGTATCCGTTCACCATCCCATCTGAGATAGTTCATTGCTGTTAAAGGCCATTGTGCTTCTTACCTGTTTGGGTTAGTTATTGGGTTAAATATGCCTTTTTTGTTAATTTACTTTCTTCCCAAACAAATTCTCTTTTTCTTCTATTCACAGAATCCAAAGATAAAGAAGAGGCTTCACACTTCGCGGACAGAAAGGCCAAGAAATCATACCTACAGGCCGTCAGGTATTTATGGCTTTTTAGGAGGTATTTGCATACTTGGTGGGAATAACAGTCCCTGGATGATGGGAATTGCAATCACTCCCGATGGATTTTCCTAGCATTGTATCTATCATTGGTTTCATAGTTGCTTGCTTAATATATCTGTTCTGCCGAATTGACCTCTAGACCCCCTCTTTATTTAATTACACTGATCGAAAAAAATAAAACCTGCAGTTATTCACCGTTTATTAAATAATGGGAAAAAAGTGGCAAAACAGTACAATAAAGTAATTCAGATCCAAAGGACAGTTCAAAATGAGGTGACAATTTGACAAAGTAAAATTTAGAACGCAGAGAATGCTGAAATGTGTGCTGACGGATGAACTAGGGCCACGTAATTGGGGACATTAAGGCTCACTTGCACTGTGACACAGCTGTTACATTAGGTTGTACTGGGTTACAATGTTTTATCTTTGTTTATTCTAGAAACTAGTGTGAGAGAGATCTGTGCCAGAGAGACACAGATTAACCTGTCCTTTATAAAACACAGAGTATTAATGGGGAGACTAAATCTCCCTTCATCTCCCATTCTGGATAGGACCCCTCAGCAGTGCTGGGCCCCTGCGCACGGTGATATTTCCAGCGCTGGCTTGAACTCACCTCTGTTCTAACACGTTGGAAACCTCAGACTAATACTTCAATCAAAAAAAAAAAAATGCTTTGCTTACATTTTCTGTGGAATTGGGTCAGAGAGTTAAATTTCAAAGACGTTTTGCTGTGTAGCAACTTTTGCAAAGACATCTTTCTAAAAGAGAAATGTCTGCCGAGCCTGTACATTCAGCACAGGCAGCAATCATTAAGGCAAATACAAAAAAACAAGTCCTGCACTCAAACTCCCATCACTCCTGGATGCCCTAATACATACAGTACAGTAAAACATACATACATACATACATACGGTAAAAACCAAAGAAAAAAGTTACCTGCGTTTTCTCCCAATTCCCTATGTATATTTAAACAAATTAAGGTTATTTAGTTACTCCAATGTCCATGAGAGGATATGCCCACCTGCCACGTCAAGGCAGACCTCTCAGGTGGGTCCTAACTCTAACCATTCACCTTGCTTCCTTGAGCTTCTGGCAAAGATATCTCTAATGAGACAGAAAGGGGTATTTTTTATATACACTCCTATATACTTATTAACCCTTAATAGGGAACACATGGGATGGACGGCAGCCGTGTGATACAAAAGTGAATACAAATAGAAAGAAACTAGTTCTGTGCTCAAACTCCCATCACTCCTGGGTGACAGCAATGACCATAGTACACATCAGCCAAAATACATACAGTAAACACCCAAAAAAAAAAAATTAAAACCATTAACAGAATAAAGAAATTGTCTGGATTTTTGGGCCGCAATGGACTATTTATTGCAGTCCACAGGTTCCTACCTGGTGTAGAATGTTTTTTTGATCAATGCATTGAGCTAGATAGACAGAAAATCTCAAAGCTAGGATTTATTTGAATTGTATATTAACATACTGTGAATAAGTCTACCGGGCAGCTAAACTGCAGGGGCCTTATTTATAATTTATTTTAACTTATTGCTAGTAATTCTCAATTACAGTCGTACAAAAGATACAGAGATGTATTTCTATGTCCTATTAATGTACAGGTCTGCAACCATTCTCAGGATAGGGGGATTATCGAGGGTATTTCAGGCTGGGAGACATACTTGGGGTACAGACACTTTGTTTGCAGTGCCTCATGGGAAGGGTACCATACCTAAAGCTACCCCATGTCACCATACTTTGATATGCTTTAGCAAAGTATGACTTAAAAATACATTGAAAACAAATATTTTGCGGGCTAAATATTGATCCTGGTGCTGCTGCTTTAAATAAATCAAATTTTGCTCACAAGACCCGTGAACGCTCTCCAGGCTGTAGTCTTTTTGCCGTAGTTTAGTTACAGACAGTTACTGCTGGTTATCTATGCAATATGTTACTCATGATGTACATAGCTCCCATTAGAATGGAGAAACACTCAGAAACACTCATATTTGTGTTCAGCGATATCTCACACGTTCAACAGTACCCCCACATGTACAGGTTTTATGGGGTTTAGAAAAGAGGGTAAGTATTTGGGCTGGATGGAGGGCTATATTGTTAGGGCTTACTATGCCTCCCTTATGTCAGGAAAGGGTTAATAAATAAAACAGTTACGTTCAGGTGCAATAATCCATAGATTAAGCTTTTTGGATTGTACCACCTGTTTAAAGTCGGGATTTCCTTAACCTGTTAATTTGGAGAGATTGAATTGCCTGCTGCTTGCTTAGTGACTCAATCATGCACCTGTGCCCTATATGTCTTTCAGCTACATAATTATGTTTGGAAACCGGTCTGTATAAATAAGATACCCCGTTCTTGTTCTAATTTATATTTTAGTTGTTTAAATTTTTATTATTAAGTCACCTAAAATTTCACCCCACCCCACCCCCCATTTATGCCGCTAAAATTAAAGTGTCCCTCTGCCTATTTGGAATGCTGAGAGGTATGTTAATAGGCTCCACCCCTGCAGAGTAACAATATGAGTTAATGGTTGCGCCTTTCTGATTGGGCTGCACCCCATTTCAACCCCTTCTGTCCTTGTTGGGGTAAGGTAACCCCACCTCAGGAGAGCAGATGTGCGCCCGACAGAATACAGATGTCTTTTTTCCTCTGGAATGTGATCAAATTGTATTGAATGCGATATTTCTATATCTCTGTGCTCCCTCATCATATTGGTTACAAGACGTAACGCTTCCCCAAAGGGGCCGGGCGAATACACCACTCCCTGATCCTTCCCTGCGCATCACTCTGTGTAAATATATATATTTAAAACCAATTTATTTTTTACTGGAAAAGAAAACGAGCTATTTCAGCATCTCCCCTAGTCTCTGTGTGGCTTTGCAGGCCCATGATTCTCCTCCCATTACAGGAGCACGTGTTTACTTAGTGAAGTGCCTCTCTTAGAACCTTAATCCCATTTCCACTGGCATCTTTCATAAACAGAGAGAGGACAGAGGGAATACATTAAAAATTACACTTTTCACAAGGGGCAGGGCTAGATTAACCCCTTGGGTTCCAGCAGGGTTGAGCAACACATGCCGAAGTGGTGTGTTGCTAACATTCCAGCCACACGGGGTTAAAAGCACCTTTTTCTCGCGGTTTTGATGTGTTTTTTTCTACACAGGTTGAGGTTGCATATTTTCTTTGACTCTTGAGAGGACACACAACCTTTCTATTATATCTTATTAAACGGCTGACAGCCTGCATATCTTTAATGAACACTGAGTCTACACACAGACAAGAGGAGGTATGTCTCAATTTCCAGCAGGCCTTTCCTTTCAGCCAAAGTGTGTCCCAAGCCACTGAGTGATCACTTCAACCCTTTCTAGTCTGTGTTTAAAAGGAATTTCACAGCCTTGATATATAGAGTGATTAAAAGACTGCAGGAATACACAACCCTCAGCAAAAAAAAAAGTCTTAAAGAGCTTTCATTAGGCTTTATGTAGGGGAGAGAAACTTTTTTCATATATTTTTGTTTCTGCCAGAATATAATATATCTCTATCATATGATGTGCCCGTTAATTAAACAGGCAGACGATGCAGACCTGCATTGCACTGTGGGTGCCGTCACACTGTGCGTTAAAAATTGTAACAACACTGTGTCAATAAAACCCTAAGAAAGTTGTGTAAAATAACAGTGAATTGTGTACTATAGTAAAATACTGTTATTGAGTGGTACTGGAGATACCACAGACAACGAGATGGCGATATTTTCCTTTAACACCTCCAGATTTGTTCACATATATCTTGTTTGCCATTCTTTATTTTTGGAGTGCAGTGATAAATACATGCTTTAGTAATGACATATGACATTATTTTATTATGTATATAGCGCCAGCAAACTCCGTAGTGCTGTACAATTGGTGGACTAAGAGACACGTAATTATAACCAGACAAATGGACGCACAGAAACAGGGGGGGGGTTTGAGGGTCCTGCTCAATGAGCTTACATGCTAGAGGGAGTGGGGTAAAATGACACAAAGGGTATAAGTAGGGGTAATGAAATAGGTTGCTAGAAAGTAATCACTGAGAACTTAGTAGGTTATTTTTGAGTTACAGGAGAGGTGGGGTGGAGGGGGGGTGATGAAAATCCGCTAACAGTTTAGATTATATGCCATCCTGAAGAAGTGTGTTTTTAAAGATTTTTTTGAGGGAGTGGAGACTGGGTGAAAGTCTAACGGACATGAGGTATAGTAACAATATGTTAGCACGAGAGGTTAAGGTATGCTGCACACCACACTGGCTAGATGGTGTATAGCAGAGGGATTGACGAGACTAGACAGAAACCAAAGGAGAGACATGAAAGTATTGCAATAAAGATGCACTCATGAAGGTAAAACAAGAACCTTCTCCATCCTAGTTTTGGTAAGAAAGGGAGCAGCCAAGGGCTTTTTTTTACATAGCTCAGTCCCAGAGCCCTATTCATGTCCTCCAAGGGAGAGTAAAGTCCCGTGGTAGAAGGGCACACTGCAGGGCATGGAGAGCTGGTGGGTCAAATTTCTTGACATACAAGGGATTCCCCACCACACCTCTGAATTCCTTTGCGAACCTTCTTTGGTCCTCATCGATGGATGCCTCTGTGCCGCCTTGTGGTTAGGCGAAGTTTGTAGAGTGCACCGCTGTCATGGTGGGGCCTTCACTGCTGGTAAAGCCCAGGGTTCAGGATGGGAACTCTAAAGTGTGTAATAACCTATTTGTAGCGGGGCAGGTCGGGGTTTCCTGCTGTCTAGCTGCTGCCAGAAGTTGGTGCACAGTCTGTCAAGCTTGGAGAAGATGTCCCCATGATCATCACTGGGGTGAGGAAACCAAATGGTCTCCACCATTTTGGATTCACAGTGCGGTCCATTTGCTCTCACAGCTTCACCCCATGCTTCTGCCTGAGATGGGTAGCCTCCCAGGAGTGGACCGGGATCACCCCTACTGGTCCAAGTGTGGGAGAAAGGAGCACTGGCGTAAAACTTATAGCCTCCAGACATCTCTGGTCCAGGAGATCGGCCTACTTTCCCGCCCAGTGCGTACTAGGCCTCAGTTACCACGGTGGAGCTGATAAACTCTTGATGAGTCGCTGACTGCTTTCCAGTGTAGCTGGTAAGTCAGGAATAAAAGCCTTTGCTTGTTTTGTCCCAAAACGAGGTTTAGGCAGCTGTATGGGGTGTTTTATATCAGGATAGGGGAGGAGCTCATCCAAGACGCGTCTTTCCTCCATGGCAGTCAGGCCTGCCTCTGACATATCTTTCAGATATATTTATTGAAAGTTGTTCCACAGCTGGTGAAGATTGATTGATTGGGGTTTGTTTTGCGATTCTGGCTGCTGTGGAATGCATCACACAGACACGCATACTCGCGGACTCGTTCATACTCAGAGTTGCTTCATTCTTAGTGCAGGAAAAGGAGATCCCATCCAGTCAGAGATTGATGAGACTCAACATTGAGCAGCAGCCACAATCCACGGCTATCATAATGTGCTCAGTCCCTCTCCCCTTGGTGACATGCTGGGAGAGGTGCTCTCTCCCCAACCCTGCACCCGGCATTGCGTAGTGGGAGAAAGACCGAATAAATGCAGTGAGCCTCTGCATAGTTTCCATTTCTCCACCTTTTTATTATCAGCGAGGATTTTTTTATTAACGTTTCATTGTGCACCTACCATCCACAAAGCGTGTAGGTAAGTGCTCACATTAGTGTGTTACCAAGTAATGTAGCGTGCTTTAAACTGGTAAAGATTCTGAAATAAATAACATAAACAAATATAGTGCAGACTGTCTGAATCTGTACATGAAATATAATAGGGGGAGTGGGAGAGAACTCACATGTACCAGAGCCCTATCGCCCCTTGCTCTGGGTTTGAAATTCCCCACTTGAGAGGGAAGCTGCCCACAGTAAGATGTCAGGATCAGGATAACTTGTCCCCAAGCTGTATATATCATCAGATAAATGGATTGTTTTTTTTTAAATTGGTGGGTATGCCAGCAAACTACCCACATAAAAGCATATTCGTACTGAATATAAAACGCCAGTTGGTACCACGAGACATAATCCTGAGGTGTCAAGCGATGTCCAACAAGTTAAGCCTGCTAGCGGTGATAAAAGGGAAGACGCTATATAACTTTGAGAACTGTAAAATTTCATTCTTCCAGGATCTTAGTAGAGCCACACTACAGTGGCATAAAGCCATGCAACTCCTCACACAGACCGTACAAAAAGAAGGACTGACCTACAGATGGGCGACACCGCACATACTGTGGGTCACCAAAAAACGGAAAGTTCTATAAGGCCACAGACCCTGCAGATGCTCCCGCACTCTTGGCGGCACTGGACTTGCAACCTAACCCTACTCACGGACCGCCAGATATACGCAACCCCGAATGGACACTGACTCGGACACTTCTTCAACCTACCCCGGAAGAGGCAGGAGACCAAAGACCAAAATAACATGCCTGGCCATCTCACGTTGCAGTGGCACATACGTGACTTTCTTAGTTACCAAGTTTTGCAATTGTAACACTACAAGTTTCGCTTAATTTGCCCACTTTTACACACACTAATGCACAGTCACTCTGCTTTGCTGAAACACCCAAAGCTCTCACACTCTGCTCAGGAACTCTCCCCCTCCCCCATAGTTCCGACACGCCAAGGAGAAAAAGACAAGGGACCAAACACACAGATGAGGGCCACACGATAGGACTTACACCACTAGTACTACCTCATAGAGATAGCCCACTCACTGGAGACGGAACCGAGATATCACCTGGAACCACAGCTCTGCCACCTAGTGGGGCCGACACAACAGAGACACCAACACCTCTCCCTTCTACATACACCCGAGTGACCTAGACTCCGCAAAACTCACTGGCACGCAAACTCCGCGGACCACTCATAGAGGGGCTCTATTAACCCATATATTGACCAACTCACTACAACCCGACAGTCCATCACACTTCTAAAAATGTGCTCACCAGACATAAACCACAAACATATGATGTTACATAAGATGTTTACTCGTGTATCAGACCAAAACACAAAGAATGTATGTACGTTGCATGCAAATCTGCACCAAAAATAAAGAATTTTAAATAAATAAAATGCCAGTTGATAACAGTCACTTGCGGGTTTCGCCAGTCCCCGATCACGTGGTCCTTCAGTGTCCGCCTCTCTCGTGACGTCTTGCGTGGCCCGCTTCACCCACCTTCTCTGGCTTCTTCCAACTAACATTAAACCAATACATTGTGCTAAGTTTAGACTGGCAGCTTATATCGTTTTAAGGATGGTTTAGTAATAAGCGACGATAATCACCATCTGGAAATAATACTATACGAGGGTAGACAGCCTTCAGTACTCCAGATGTTATGGACAGGGCCACCATCAGGGGGGTACAGGTAGTATACCTGCAAGTGATCCAGGCCAAATATGGACAATAAATAAATAAATAAATAAATAGTGAATATGGCTATATATATATATATATATATATATATATATATTGCCATTGCATGCTTTAACAGAGGGAGAGGGAGCCCAGGAGGCTGTCCATCTGCTCTGCTGGGCCCACTCGCAAAATCCCGGCTCTCAGAGCTCTGCCGCAATTACTTTGGCAATGCTCCGACTCCGCATTCTGCCGTAGCTCGCAACAACAGCATGGGCAGCCTCCAAATACAGCCGGGGAATGTAGTGTCCCTATTCCCTGGCCATGGGTAAGAGCAGGGAGCAGAGACACACAGCAAATTAACAAAAAATATTAATAAAATGCTCCTCTCACCCTACTCCTCACAACACAGCCCCTATCTCAGCCCACAAATACATAATAACACTGTATACACACACTGCATACACTACATACTGTATATACACATACTGCATACAATGTATACATGAACTGGATGCACTACACACTCTGTATCTACTACATACACATACTGCATACACTGTAACATTCACTATATACACACACTGCATGCACTGTAACATTCACTATATACACATACTGCATACACTGTAACATTCACTATATACACATACTGCATACACTGTAACATTCACTATATACACATACTGCATGCACTGTAACATTCACTATATACACACACTGCAGCCACTACACATATTATATACAGACTCTGCAGCCACTACACACTGCAGACACAATACACACAGTACACACTACATACACACACTGTATACACTATATACACACACTGCATCCCTTACGCACACACAAACTTACACTGCATTTCTTAAACACACACACCGCATCCACTACTTATATTATATACACACAATGTATCCACTATATGCACACACACTGCATACACTATACACACATACTGCATACACTACATGCATACACTACAACCCTTAAACACACATACTGCATACACTACATGCACACACTACACCCCTTAAACACACATTGCATCCACTACACACAAGTGCACTTCCTTGCTGACACACACATACACACTACATTCCTTATTCACACTGGATTCCCTATACACAGACATTACATCCTCTACAAACACACTACATTACCTATGACAACTCTAAGTGCCTGTGAGATGGTGGGCGGCCCTTTAGGCAGACTCGGGGTCAGCCCTGTGGGCAGTCTGGGAAGAGGGGAGCAAGGTCCAGACTTGGAGATGTGTAAGGGGCCCCAAAATGTCTGACTACATATACCATATTGCTTTGTAAGAATTATGGCTACAAGAGCATGATGGGAGATGTAGTCAACAACATCTGGAGTGCTGAAAGTTGTCTACCTTTGCCCTATACATTTGCTATTAATCCATCCAGCACACTGTATTGATAAAATGACACTTAATACATGTGCCACCTTGCCACATTTACGTGGTGGGTGCACTTTAAATGCTGATATTATCGTGGCTCCCCCATTTTCAATGAAGGCTCAGATTGGAGAGAGAGGGGAAAAAAGCTTAAAACCTAAGATGAAGATTATACTAAAATAGTCCCGGGAAGGCCGTGAGTCAAAAGAGCTTATAGATTTTGGCTCCGGCGGCACAGAGAGATGAATTCATTTCTAGCACAACCTGACTGAGAGTCTTCAATAGGATTTCTGTTACTTCAAAGACACTGCACACAATGGCGACTAAATCCAAAGGAATAGCGATTGTCTCTAAAGCGAGAGCACATGTCTTGTATTGCCCTACTTAATATTCGTAACCCTTTATCCACCACAGGTCCTCCAGGGCATTCCGCTAATAGTATAAAACTATGTTGCAATACCAAAGAGCTTACATATTGTTATCAATGTAGCCCAAAGTCTGGAAATAATGGGAACATTTTTATTTACTGAATCATTTATTAGTGGTTGGTCTTTGAAGTTTATATTTCCTCATACAGACATGCTGTCTGTCTGCCCTGCCATAGCTCATTGAAATATAAGCTTTGAGCATCTAGTCTACCTTTGCTGTGACTTACACTCCCCTTTAGGTTTAAAAGTTTGGTCAACTAACAGAAATGAGTTTTAGTGCCATGAGTACAATCGGGGCAATTTCAGGGTCTTCCTTCATACGGTACATATTATATCAGAGACCGTAAAATCAAAATTAAAAAATTTGAATTTTAATGACCAGTTTCCAATGCAATATACATTTGGTGAGGATGATACTACATTTCCAAAATGAGATATATAGTACTTTTCATTACCAATAAATACGTATGAAACTTGATTCGTTTTTGTGAATCCAGGGAGTGATCTTTTATTATCAAGTTTCGCACCAAATTCAGTTAAGAAAAAAAGAAAAGCAAGGAGAGAATTCTGGTTTCATTTTGTACTTGGCCGCTAAGGAAATGTTTCTATGAATTCTTCGCAATTTGGGAATGTAGTGCATTTTTTATACTGACAATGTGATAACTCAGTATTCTAAATATCTGGCTTTCGATACACTGTAAACACAATTCATTTTTTTTTTTTTAAATATGGTCAGTTTTAAATGGTTTTTAGGAAAAACATACTTATTTGTAAATTCTACTTCTATTTGAGCTGAATCAGGATTTGTTCCCAATCCACACGATATAATCTCTGGAGATTAAAACAAAAGGAAATGTTTATGACAAGGGAAAATCATGTGAATCGGAAATTTAAATTTGATTTAAAACGTTTTCTTAATCTCTAACACTTCTTGCATTACTTTTGTGTTGTAATAATGCACATCTGGTACAAAATCACTATTAAAACAAAACCTTATACTTTGATGAAATTAATATTTTATGATCCTCTTAACATGCCGCAACCAGTAGTGTGCTTGTACATAGATAATCAGTAAATATATACGTGTAATCTGTTTCCTATCCCCCTGTGGAAGTTCCAAAAGATTACTTATTTCCTTTACAAATGTAGTTTAGAATACGCATTTCAGATGCTAAGAAGTAGAATGATGGGAATTATTAGCGACGTTAAATAACATTCTCATAAGATAAAAAATAATTAATAAAGATTATTTCTGCAAACTCCCCAAATATTTGGAAACCATGTTGAGTGCATTATATCCTTTGAAAGGAGATGTCTAATGCCACACTGATACTGCATATTAGGTAAGAGGTAATGCTTTGCCTGCATATAGCTTCTATCATTAATATTGTATGCACTTTTCTCTGCAGTCAATATTTTTATAAAAGCAGTTTGACCTGTGCCTCCTATGTTTGGTTTGTCTATCTATTGACTAATAAAGTTGTAACTTCAGACACTTCCTATCAGTGTATGCAGTCACTGCTCATGGGCAGGGTCTGCCTTCTTTCTAAACTGCAAGACATGCCCCCAGCTGAAGCCACACCCATGAGGTTCCTAGGAAGTTGGAATATTGTCTAAAAAAAAGATACCTAACACTCCTTTTATATTTAATAAGGTGGGTTATTGCTTAATGCAGTTGGATTTTTCTTCTCTCTTCCAATAGTGACAAAGTAATAGGAGGTAAAGACTGAGTTATGTGGCTGGGATCAAAGAAAGATAGGGAACTGGAAGAAGTGAATAGACCGGAGGAATAAGAGGCAGAATTGGACAAAGCAGTAAAGAAAGCTGAACACTTCTTATAACAGAGCCCATGTCCCCATCAATTGACTGTCATACCTGGAGTTACAGGATCCGATCTAGAGAGCAGCTACATATCCTACTAATCTAACTCTACCTAATTAAACTGCATAATGTTCAGTGTTTTTCCCCTTGATGTTTAATCTCTTTGCTTTGTATACAATATATCACAGTGGGAAATCAAATTAAAAATAACTCCATTTCTAATTGTATTTCTACAACCTCACAGCTGTCATTAATTGCTGTTTGCAATCACCGTTTTCCTAACTATTTCCTCCGGTTTTATTGTAACGCCTTATTAAGGTGGAAAACAAATTGGAATCCAATATATTTTTTGCAGCAAGATTTTTTGTTTATTATTATTTTTATATTATTTTTTTATGATCCTAAAAGTCTAGGAAACTGTTCTCTTTTTGTGAAATCCCTGCAATTATTTAACAGAAGAAAAATCATTGAATGGATTGGTTTTAGCTTATCTGGGCTCCTGTTGCAAATTAAGCACCGTAATAGTACTAAAATCTGTATTTATGAAGTGCCTATAAATCTAAGTATATGGGGGGAGAGCTCGCTGCGAAGGGTTTGAAGTACTTTTGGAAAACATGGCCTCTGCAGTCTCATTTTAGGATAGAATGCATTGCTGTTTCAATGCATTTTTGGTATCGAAGATGCCATTGTCCGCAACATGTTGTTGCTATATATCAGTTTATTAAGTCTTGGTAGATTATTGTGATTAGGGTACCTGCAGATAGTACTGAGAGGCTGCAGTCTGAAGAGACAGTCGACGTTGTATTAGAAATTATTCTGCTGTGCAGATTTTGATACCTACTTAGTTCTATGGCCATATTCAAGATTGTCTGTTTAAGATAATGGGAATCTCTGGAATCTTGTCCTACCAGCCGTATCACTTACCTTGCAGCCTCTTAAAGGGACACTCTAGACCCCCTAAAGCACTTTAGTGTGCTGAAAATGTTTATATGTGAAGACTGTCCAATTTTTCATTTTGGAAATAGTGCAGATTTCAATAGAAATTGAAACTGTTATATATTATACTGGTTACACCCCCTGGCCTTTCAAGCAGACAATAGGTCCTGTTACTTCCTGGTTTCATTAGCTCAGTTGCACTGAATTCAAGAGGCAGCATATGCCTGAAGCACCTGCCTTGCAAAGACTTCTCATTGAGCTGCATTGGGAAGTCTGTGATTGGACAGCCACAGAAAGTCGGGGCGGGGTTAGAAGGGGAGGGCTTGCAAAGGCTGCAGTCAAAAGATCTCTAGTTTTTGCAAGTTGTTTTCATATAGATCGCCGATGGTAAAATACATAATTAAATGCATGCATGTTTTTATTGGGGATATATCTACTAAACGGTGATTTTTTAATTTTATTTTTTGCATTTGGGTATTGGAGTGTCCCTTGCTGGAATGTGTCACACCCCCTCCCCATTCACTGATTTGTGCTGTCACATTTAGAGGGATACTCGTCTTGCTGCATTGCTTCAGGGGCTAACAGCGCGTTCGCTGTGCCTTATTTTTAATAGAAATCAGCACTTTATAGTAACACCACCTTTGCTGACCAACCAACAGCTGGGAGGGTTCCTGCATCACTCGCTTCCAACTGTAGTTCCAAACAGAAGTGAGTGCTTCTTGTAGATTAGTATTGGTTTCCCTGCTTTCAGTGAGTAGTATGATTGACCAATCACAGCTATTGCCGCACATGCGCCATGTGTCTCAATACTTCTCGATGACAAAGTATCTGATTGGACACAAGTTATCAGTAATCATGACCTTACAGGACAAATCCAAACTGCAAAATTCAGAAAATAGCCACTCTGTAGCTTAAGATGAGTTGGAGAATTTTTCCGAATCAGATATTTTGTTCTACAGTTCTGATTTAAACTCGTTAAATTTGGTTTTTAGTGAATAAACTCCAGTTGACTTGCAGAATTTTTTCAGTTCGTTTAGAAATTCACTTTGAATTCCTGACAATTCACACTGTAACGAATAACCCTGTATGTATGCTTCTGAATACAAAGAGGTTCTGGAGCAGCTGCTGAGGGTGCCCCCTCCCCTCCGCCACATGGATATCTAGTGGCAATGTCATGGTTACTGATGATTTGAGCCAATATAAATAACTTGCCTGTGGGACAAGAAGCTGCCCCGTGTATGGCGATGGCTGGGAGGAAATCGCTTGCATCCTGCGCAAAAAGCATTTGCACACTAAATACGGCCATTAAAATATTTGACATGAGTTGCACCTTGAAGCAGATGTTTGTTAAGGGCAGTTTGTCATCTGTAAGCTGTTTATGCAGAAAAAGGGCTGTGAATGTGATTGGACGCGAGTGTGTGCCTATCCTTATATAACCTGCACAGTATAGCGAACGCTTCCTTAGTAACCCAGCACAAAGGGCACAGCTGTTTGCTTATCTGCAAAATGTTTTCCATACAAACAGAGGACAAGAATAGCATGCCATTAAAGCCACAAAAGCGCTTTAACCCCTGTAGCCAGGGCGGCACAGAACACTCTCTTTACACGCATGTATATATTTATATGTACAGTGCGTGTGTGTGCCTGTTTTTCAAACTTTAAGCATGTTTTTGTTGGTCATTTTTTGCCGGCTCCATGCTGCCCTGCGTATCACGATTAGACAAATAAAATCCCAGGAATGTATTTTATGGTGACAGAGGGGGAACACGCACTAAAGACTCCATTAAAAATTTTAGTCGTGTTATTTCATTTAACTCTTTAAGATCACAAGAACAAAGCATTAACAGTGTAAATCAGTTTTTGTGATGTGTTGATTGGAAGGGATCTCAGCTATTTACTAAACAGAGAGTTGCTGTGAAATTATTTTGAAAAGTTAGATCAATGGAGAGATTTTTTTTTTTTCTGTCTTTTGCATACCACCCAGGTCTCCCTATTTATGATGGACAGTCCCTACTTTGAGCTCCAATCCTTTTTTTTCTAGGAGATCCCTGTTGTTGGTGTGTCTGAGTGTATAACAGAGCTCCACAGCAATAATACTCCCAGTAATGTGTCTGAGTGTATAACAGAGCTCCACAGCAATAATACTCCCAGTAATGCGTGTCTGAGTGTATAACAGAGCTCCACAGCAATAATACTCCCAGTAATGTGTCTGAGTGTATAACAGAGCTGAGTGTATAACAGAGCTCCACAGCAATAATACTCCCAGTAATGTGTCTGAGTGTATTACAGAGCTTCGCAGCAATAATACTCCCAGTAATGTGTCTCCGTGTATAACAGAGCTCCACAGCAATAATACTCCCAGTAATGTGTCTGAGTGTATAACAGAGCTCCACAGCAATAATACTCCCAGTAATGTGTCTGAGTGTATAACAGAGCTCCACAGCAATAATACTCCCAGTAATGTGTCTGAGTGTATAACAGAGCTCCACAGCAATAATACTCCCAGTAATGTCTGAGTGTATAACAGAGCTCCACAGCAATAATACTCCCAGTAATGTGTCTGAGTGTATAACAGAGCTCCACAGCAATAATACTCCCAGTAATGTGTCTGAGTGTATAACAGAGCTCCACAGCAATAATACTCCCAGTAATGTGTCTGAGTGTATAACAGAGCTCCACAGCAATAATACTCCCAGTAATGTGTCTGAGTGTATAACAGAGCTCCACAGCAATAATACTCCCAGTAATGTGTCTGAGTGTATCACAGAGAGCTCCCAGCAGCAATAATACTCCCAGTAATGTGTCTGAGTGTATAACAGAGCTCCCAGAGCTCCACAGTAATAATACTCCCAGTAATGTGTCTGAGTGTATAACAGAGCTCCACAGCAATAATACTCCCAGTAATGTGTCTGAGTGTATAACAGAGCTCCACAGCAATAATACTCCCAGTAATGTGTCTAACAGAGCTCCAGTAATGTGTCTGAGTGTATAACAGAGCTCCACAGTAATAATTCTCCCAGTAATGTGTCTGAGTGTATAACAGAGCTCCACAGTAATAATACTCCCAGTAATGTGTCTGAGTGTATAACAGAGCTCCACAGCAATAATACTCCCAGTAATGTGTCTGAGTGTATAACAGAGCTCCACAGCAATAATACTCCCAGTAATGTGTCTGAGTGTATAACAGAGCTCCACAGCAATAATACTCCCAGTAATGTGTCTGAGTGGATAACAGAGCCCCACAGTAATAATACTCCCAGTAATGTGTCTGAGTGTATAACAGAGCCCCACAGTAATAATACTCCCAGTAATGTGTCTGAGTGTATAACAGAGCTCCACAGCAATAATACTCCCAGTAATGTGTCTGAGTGTATAACGGAGCTCCACAGCAATAATACTCCCAGTAATGTGTCTGACAGTATAACGGAGCTTCACAGCAATAATACTCCCAGTAATGTGTCTGAGTGTATAACGGAGCTCCACAGCAATAATACTCCCAGTAATGTGTCTGAGTGTATAACGGAGCTCCACAGCAACAATACTCCCAGTAATGTGTCTGAGTGTATAACGGAGCTCCACAGCAACAATACTCCCAGTAATGTGTCTGAGTGGATAACGGAGCTCCACAGCAATAATACTCCCAGTAATGTGTCTGAGTGGATAACGGAGCTCCACAGCAATAATACTCCCAGTAATGTGTCTGAGTGGATAACAGAGCTCCACAGCAATAATACTCCCAGTAATGTGTCTGAGTGTATAACAGAGCTCCACAGCAATAATACTCCCAGTAATGTGTCTGAGTGTATAACAGAGCTCCACAGTAATAATACCCCCAGTAATGTGTCTGAGTGTATAACAGAGCTCCACAGCAATAATCCTCCCAGTAATGTGTCTGAGTGTATAACAGAGCTCCACAGTAATAATACTCCCAGTAATGTGTCTGAGTGTATAACAGAGCTCCACAGCAATAATCCTCCCAGTAATGTGTCTGAGTGTATAACAGAGCTCCACAGCAATAATACTCCCAGTAATGCGTCTGAGTGTATAACAGAGCTCCACAGCAATAATACTCCCAGTAATGTGTCTGAGTGTATAACTGAGCTCCACAGTAATAATACTCCCAGTAATGTGTCTGAGTGTATAACCGAGCTCCACACCAATAATACTCCCAGTAATGTGTCTGAGTGTATAACAGAGCTCCACAGCAATAATACTCCCAGTAATGTGTCTGAGTGTATAACAGAGCTCCACAGCAATAATACTCCCAGTGATGTGTCTGCCTGTACAACAGAGCCCACAGCAATAATACTCCCAGTAATGTGTCTGAGTGTATAACAGAGCTCCACAGCAATAATACTCCCAGTAATGTGTCTGAGTGTATAACAGAGCTCCACAGTAATAACACTCCCAGTAATGTGTCTGAGTGTATAACAGAGCTCCACAGCAATAATACTCCCAGTAATGTGTTTGAGTGTATAACAGAGCTCCACAGCAATAATACTCCCAGTAATGTGTTTGAGTGTATAACAGAGCTCCACAGCAATAATACTCCCAGTAATGTGTCTGAGTGTATAACAGAGCTCCACAGCAATACTACTCCCAATAATGTGTCTGAGTGTATCACAGAGCTCCACAGCAATAATACTCCCAGTAATGTGTCTGAGTGTATAACAGAGCTCCACAGCAATACTACTCCCAGTAATGTGTCTGAGTGTATAACAGAGCTCCACAGCAATAATACTCCCAGTAATGTGTCTGAGTGTATAACAGAGCCCCACAGCAATAATACTCCCAGTAATGTGTCTGAGTGTATAACAGAGCTCCACAGCAATAATACTCCCAGTAATGTGTCTGAGTGTATAACAGAGCTCCACAGCAATAATACTCCCAGTAATGTGTCTGAGTGTATAGCAGAGCTCCACAGCAATAATACTCCCAGTAATGTGTCTGAGTGTATAACAGAGCTCCACAGTAATAATACTCCCAGTAATGTGTCTTCAAAATACAATAACTGTGTTTAGAAATCATTCTGTGTAAATAAGATACAGTGTTCTAAATCATGTTTTAGTTCTAGAAATGTATTAGTAAGTCTTGTAAAAGCTCTCAGAACAGCCTAGCCCTTGGCAACCCCCACACAAAGTTCTAAAATGAAAGTGTCCCTCTCTGTTTATTTGACACATTGGGAGGTATATAGATATATATATATATATACTTTATTACTTTTGTTCTAAATTTGTAAAACTGTCCTCATGTTTTCACAATTTGCTGTTTATTGAATCAATGTGAGAGTGCTGTTATCACGCTGTCCTTCATGACCGGATCCCACCCTTTGCAGGAGGTCTGAGATCCAGGGGAAATGTCAGGTGATACGGGAGCTAAAATGCAAAGACTGGCATTTGGCAAAGGGCAGATGAGGCGCTTTAACCCCTTGAGTGCTAGTGGAAGGAGCCAGGCTTTGTAAATCACAAATTTTATTCACAATTCCCTGGCAGTTTCAAAACTCAAAAACAAATCTGAAAAATTAAAAATGTGTTTGTCTCAATAAGACTTAACCCCTCACTCTTACCTTGCAGACAGGACGATGCACAAGTTTATTTGATTCGTCCTCCTGGAGAGAATCTTAATTTTTTATCATACAATTTGTAACCCAAATCTCGTGCAGCACAGATCTCCATTCTCCACCCTTTCCCATCATGCACGCTACTATTAAATAAATAGGGTGCAAATCTGTACCCTCTGTAATCTATATTGCTGCTGCCCTCTCCAGGACTTGATAGGCCACTGGCCACTGCTTTCCATGCAGCCTCTCTTTACATTGATTCTATTACAAATATATCTAGATATAATGGATGAGTTAGCAGGAGAAGTTCCTCTGGTGTTTGTCAAATTATTTTCAAGTAATATAGCAACAGTACTATGTTTCAGTGGTTATGGTACGTGGCGTGTTCCGGGAAATGAAGAGAGTTCTAAAACTGGAGCTATACTACTTTCTCTTTCCTAATAACGGCATTTAATTCTGATTTAGAACACTGACAGGGTTATTCATAAACAGGGTTATTAGAATTCAAAGTGAATTTCAAATTCAAGACTGAACTATATGCGTCGCTGTCTGAGAGTTTTTTCACTTTGAAATTCACTTTGAATTCTCACTTTAGTAAGTAAGCCCAGTCACAGGATGAAAGCCTCTCTCTGTCTATATATATATATAGAGAGAGAGAGAGAGAGATACAAAGTGACTGAGCGCACACTCTGCAAGGCTCTGGCAGACTGTTCTCCGTACGGCCTCCAGGGGTTTTTTAAGGACAAAGGAGATTTGCATACTTTGTGCACGTACTGCCAAACAGCAGATATAATAAACATGTTCTCCTTTAAGCCAATATAAATAAGTTGTTTATCATTTTTCTAAAGATCAGTCGATAACCCCTGCTACATTGGGCGCCGTTTGCAAAAAATATACTGTTTTATTTAGGATCAGACCGGAGATTCTTTATCTGAATTTGTATAAAAACAGGCACTTTCTCTGCTTCTCCTAAACCCTCCTGGGAGCAGATTTCCTGCCTCTGAAACGCCATTGACCTTAAAAATAGCTACTTGCAGCATAAACATTCTGACTGTTTCACGTGCCGTAAATGGTAATTAGAGCATATCGTATTGACAGTAACTTGGAATCCATCATGTAGGTTATTTTGGTGTTTTTGATTTAAGAGGAATATTCATAGTTAAATAAAAGGTGTGTTTTAATCTATCACTGCAAGACACACGCAGTCCCAATTCCAGCAGTCCCAAAGTGACAGCCCCCGCCATTCGGATTTTGTCCCCTGGTGTCCCGTATCTAGGAACAGCAGTGAAAAGGCCATTAAATGCCCCACCCTATCAACAGGGGGTGAGTGTGAGTGTGGCCAGGGACGGGGCTGAGAAATTTTAGATGCCTTATTTACAATTTATCTAAACTAAAATGTAATTTAGAACAATAACAATGTATGTTTTTTTAGATAGAGTCATTTCTAAACATGTATTGTAGTTTAAAGGGTTGCTCCAACTAAAGGGAAGTTTTCATAAAACACTGGTTTTGGTTGTAGTAACCCTCTCTATGGTAGTCTCCCAACACCAAAAGACGCAAAGTACCAGTTTTCCAGTACCACACCCTGGCCAAGTTCTCACTCAGCAGATGCACTGACAGGGGAGGCCATGCCGTATTTGGATGTCCTTTGTCAGATGCCAATTTTGCACAGAATTCTAAGCTGGCTATAGACGCTGGTGGAGGTAGCGTTACATCTCCGACAGCCAAGGGTTAATCTCTGTATTGCACCATTTCCTAGTGAAGAGCTGCACATACATATTCCAGGCACCATGACCACCTCAGATTACTGACCCCTTTAACCCCTTAAGGACACATGACATGTGTAACATGTCATGATTCCCTTTTATTCCAGAAGTTTGGTCCTTAAGGGGTTAAACACATATTGCTATTGGTATTATTGCTGTGGATCTCTGAATATGGAGCTCCTAGAAAAGAGGTACAGATGGATTTGAGCAATGTTTAATCTGATCAGCCAATCCCATTTCTTAAATAGCTTGTCCCAAGCACCTGGTAGGTTCACAAAATATAATGCGTCTCCTTAAGTGTTGCTGTTTGAATCTGTATCTGTCTAAGTGTAGCTGTATAACGGTGTATCTGTCTCTTTAATTACAGCTTTGTAAATATGTATTTTCCTCCTTAAATGTAACTTTGTAAAATCGTACTTGTCTCTTTAAATGTAGCTTTGCACATTCACACCTTGAAAAAGTGAAGATATTCAGTCACACCATCTGTACAAACTGGTTTTTTTCTTCCTGGAAATTTAGTTTCTTTACATACTGTAAACTCATTTGTAAAAACTGAGCACGTTTTACAGCAGGCTGAATGTCATTCTGTTTTATTTAGGGGCACTAAGACACCCAAAGGGGCAGTACACACAGGAGTTACGAGATCTTTTACTAAAGTAAGAATTCAAAGTGAATTTCAGATTTAAGGCCAGAGTAGTTGAACAGAGACCATTTTTCCTGTTTGTTTATTTTGACCTTAAATTTGAAATTCACTTTGAGTTCTCATTTAGTGAATAAGCCAGTAAATGGCTAAAACTGATAGTGAGTTGGACATGAATCTCAATGATGCACGTGGGATCATCATGCAATCCATTTAATAGTAATAATTTATACTCCAGGTTAATATTAACATGGTGTTATGTGACTATTTTTAACCCCATTTGTAAAATGATTGTCATACTATGCATGTCATAAAAAATGGGGTTTACTAATGCCCATCCTTGATGGGGTTAAACAATGTTCTGGTTATAAAGTATCTGTTCCCGGGAGATCTACGGAATTAATTATTGGAACACGGTGTGACTCCTGCTGTTCTCTATATCACCACCTCCCTCGACACACTGTACTAAGGCTTGTATGGCTCACACTAACGTGCTGTATTCTAGCAATCAGAGGAGGCAGTACTATGAGGGCTACAACCATCTGTAGGCAAAATTACATATTTCAAATAAATAAAACTCCACTTTTTCTTTCTTAAAAATAACTATGTGGTGATGCTGGGTTTAATGAATGAATGTGTTAAAATCGAGGGCTAGCATAGCGATCAGTAACAGAAAGTGTTTCCTATGCTTCTATTGTAATGGTTGTCAGCTTTGCTTTCTAGGAATCTTTCTGTCTTGCCTCATGAAATATAGCTAAAATAAGTACGGAAAAGGTTAATATTTTTGGCAACACCCTTTGCATGTTAAGGGCTCCGTCATGGAGCAAGTCCAGGTGCGCTGCAATGTTTAGGATTTTTTATGAGAGAAAAAAAGCGCCTGTGGGTAATGTAATATAGACCCTGAAACTAAGTCGTGTGGGTTTCTTCGAAAGCACTGTGCACCCCACTACTGCACGAGGAACACACCCTAAAAGAAATCATGCATTTGTACCTCTTTAAATTATCTTTTTTAGGGATTGCACAGTGAGTAAGCAACCGCCTTGCAACATTTAGGCCAAAATATTCCAGTCAAACTAATTCTCGCACACAGCTGTTTTCAGGATTTTTCTTCTAGCTCAGCTATATTGACCTGAATTTTACACGCTGGTTTTTTAACTCCTCCGTTTAACTCACTGTTTAGTGAATAGACCCAATTTGGTGTTATTCAGTAAAATGTGAACGGCAAATTGTCAAACACAACTGGCTTGTCCAAAAAAAAAAAAAATGACAAATGTGCAAATCAGGGTGCAGGATACGATTACTGCAACTCGCATGCATTAGCAGAGTGTGTCACAGAGGGGCTAATTCACTAAACACGGAATGTTAATAAATCACACTTTGAGCTAGATTAGTCCAGTTGTGGCTATAACTGAGCTGGATACATTTTCAAAGTCTCCTATTTTTGCCCAAATTTAGCATTTCGTTGTTTAGTGAATAAGCCTCTTTGTCTCCCGGGTCTGTGATTACCGAGTGACACCCTGCCCTAAAGCATCTATTACAGAAAAAAAGGCGACTCTTTCTAAGAAATATGCTTTGCCAGATTGGAACCTGCAGCTTTAACACTTCCTGCGGGGTGAACTTTTACGTCATTTTTTTTTTTTTTAAAAAGAGAGAATATTTAACAGTTTCTGTGCTGGACTGCTTGCCTCGTTCAGAATATTATATGCAGAAATCTCCAAAATATGCAGGCAGGGCTATTTACTAAACTGAGAATTGTTAGAAATTCGAATAAATTTAAGAACAAAATAGACTAACTGGAAGCATAGCGGACTTTTATTCTAATTTCACTATGAAATTCGCTTTGAATTCCTGACAATTCTGTAGCCATGCAGTAGATTAAATTGTATCATTCAGCTGAAGGTTATCTAAAATTACACGATTATAGTTTCAATTCCAAAATGTTTACAATGTGATTATTAAAGCTATCCCCTTTAAAACTACATTCAGAGTTTTGTAATACTTGTTTAAAACTAGCGTATAATGGTTATTTTTGAACTAGCGACTGTTTTAGTTGTCATTTGCAACCGTAGCAATCTCTTCTCAATATATCAGGAGATCCCCTCTGTATTTTGGAAACTTGACCAGAAAGGGTTAAGAATTTCGGTCCCCATGTATGGAAAAAAAGAAAAAATACATTTTATTTTTCCAGACACAGACAGGGAAATGAAAGTGTGTGACTGACACTGTGAAAAGTTAATGTGCATTTTCCCCTGGTCCGTACTGCAGAAAAAGGGTTAAAAATTAAGGCTGCGAGCCAAGCTATTGTCAAGGCTCCTTAATGCCAGCGAAATGTTGGATCGTCACCCTTGGCAGAGATGCTGTCAGAGCTTGCCCGGCATCTCTTATCGTGATGAGGAGTCGTGCTGATCTCGGAGTGAGGCAGCTACAAAATGTCCGCCACTCCTCCCCCGCCATTTTGTCGACAGCATTTCTCAAAGTGGTTATTTATTTATTTATTTTTGTGTTAGCTATGTCTGGCTGCATCTGTGCAGGAGAGGATTTTAGAGAGACAGTAAACAGCCGGGTGCACCAAGATCTTCCTGTTTTCATTAGTCGGACGATTTAGTTTTTCGATCGACGGTTTGGAAAAGAGAAAAAAAAAGTTATGGCAAGTGTAGAGAGTTTTGGACGTAAACCAACGTCTGCCTTCGGCAGGCTGACCTTGGGATTCTGCCATCAACTGTTCTCTCTCCTGGCATTAATATGCTGCTCGAACCTGATTTTTCAGGCTGGGTCTGTCAGCTAAGAAATCTTTGGCCCATGTCAGCTAAGATAGGGTTAATGGTTGAGTCCTACACAATGCAGTGTCATGGTGGCAAGCCTATATATGACATTTTGACACTTTTCCTTAAATTTCTTTAATTGTTTAAATAAATAAATTTATTTGTGAGGATTAAGTGCTGTTTAGTTAACTGGGCACCCCTTCCCAACCGCCCCCTGGCCTATTAAATGTGGGGATAACTCAATTGTAATGCAGCAACAAAAGGATCTCCTTGCTTTTCTCCACTTCTGGGCGATCACCTCTGCAGATGATCTTCCGGTCCACCAAATGCTGCTAATAGATTAGCACTGGAACACAGGGCGCATGCGCAGCAGTTGTTGCACTGCGTCAGCAAGTTTTGAATCCAGTGCTGCTCTGTGAGAAGCACTGCTTTTTGTTTCTGGGCTGGGGTACCAAGCAATCAGGAAGAGCATCCTCTGTCATCTCAGTCTGTCTATTATTTAGTGCCTTAGGAGTTTCGTTTTTTCCTTTAACACTTTGTGATGCATTTCACATTTCATTGACACTATACCCCACATCCCGAATATTTATTGGAGACTGGCATTAAGGTCAAACCAGGTCCCTAGGAAACTTCATTTCATCAACGTAGTAAGAATTTGCAAACCTTTAATCAAATCGTTAATGTGTATCACAAGGTTTGCTGTATCAGCCAGGTGTATCCTCAGTCCTCCAGAACTGGAGTTCAAAAACGTTCAATAGTGAGCAAACTCACTGCTTTTACTAGATTTTTTTTTTTAGTTTCCTGGTAAATCTTGCTGTTTTTCTGAGATAATTTCTTATTTGAACATATTCACAAATCTGTCTGTCTATCTTTCATTCTGTCTCTCTAGACAATTTATCAGGTTAGGGATTCTGAAAACTCCCACCTTTTCTTTCCCATGGAGAACTCGCAACCTAAACAGAAGGACCCCGCTAAATGGAGGCAAGACATTCTGTGGACTGGACTGAACTAAAGAACACTACCACGCTTCAGTAAAAGAGGAACGCCCCCAAGGATCTGGATCAAATTATATTTTAATGAATAGGGCAAAAAAACATATCCCATACCCCAAGAAAAGAGGAACACCCCTTAGGATGTGATTCAAATTATCGTTGAATGAACAGGGTTATATAACATATCCCACACTCCAAAAACAGAGGAATGCCCAAAGGATCTGGATCAAATTATCTTCTAATAAATAGAGCTATAAAACATATAGAGCCATAATCCAAGAAAAGAGAAATGGACCTGGATGAAATTATCTTATAATGGGTACGGCTATATAACATATCCCATACCACAAGAGGAACCCCAGGCATATCACACACCCAAAGAACAGAATAACTTTCCTGAAGATCTGGATCAAATTATCTTATGATGGACAGGGCTATATAACATATCATACACCACACGAACAGAGGAACGCCCCCGAGAATCCTGATCAAATTATTGTAGATTGGATAGGGCTATACAACATGTCATACTTCCCAAGGTAAGAGGAACAGCCCCGAGAATCTCTATCAAATCAGCAACATAGGAACGTCCCAGATCTGGATCAAATTAGATAATTAATTTAATATTTTTCAATGATTTGATATTTGTGGATAAACTTTTCATGTGATTCAATTTTTTTTTATATATTGACATATTTTTAAATATGATATCTTTCTTTATATTTTAAAAAGTAATTTTAAAATCTTATCCAAAAATTATTAAATACTATTTTATCCAAAAAAATCCAATGATCTAAATTATTAAACTGATCACCTAACACAAACACAGCAATGCCCCTGAGGACCTGGATCAAATTATTGTAGAATTGACCCGGCTATATAAAACATATCACATACTCAAAGAACAGTGGAACACCCCTGAGGACCTTAATCGAATTATTGTAGAATTGACATGCCTATATAACATATCAGATACTCAAAGAACAGTGGAACGTCCCTGAGGACCTGGATCGAATTATTGTAGAATTGACACGGCTATATAACATATCACATACTCAAAGAACAGTGGAACGTCCCTGAGGACCTGGATCGAATTATTTCAGAATTGACCTGGCTATATAACATATCACATACTCAAAGAACAGTGGAACGCCCCTGAGGACCTGGATCGAATTATTGTAGAATTGACAGGGCTATATAACATATCAGATACTCAAAGAACAGTGGAACGCCCCTGAGGACCTGGATCGAATTATTGTAGAATTGACCCGGCTATATAACATATCACATACTCAAAGAACAGTGGAACGCCCCTGAGGACCTGGATCGAATTATTGTAGAATTGACACGGCTATATAACATATCACATACTCAAAGAACAGTGGAACGCTCCTGAGGACCTGGATCGAATTATTGTAGAATTGACACGGCTATATAACATATCACATACTCAAAGAACAGTGGAACGCCCCTGAGGATCTGGATCGAATTATTGTAGAATTGACAGGGCTATATAACATATCAGATACTCAAAGAACAGTGGAACGCCCCTGAGGTCCTGGATCGAATTATTGTAGAATTGACATGGCTATATAACATATCACATACTCAAAGAACAGTGGAACGTCCCTGAGGACCTGGATCGAATTATTTCAGAATTGACAGGGCTATATAACATATCACATACTCAAAGAACAGTGGAACTCCCTGAGGACCTGGATCGAATTATTTCAGAATTGACCCGGCTATATAACATATCACATACTCAAAGAACAGTGGAACGCCCCTGAGGACCTGGATCGAATTATTTCAGCTATATAACATATCACATACTCAAAGAACAGTGGAACGTCCCTGAGGACCTGGATCTGACATATAACATATCACATACTCAAAGAACAGTGGAACATCCCTGAGGACCTGGATCGAATTATTTCAGAATTGACCCGGCTATATAACATATCACATACTCAAAGAACAGTGGAACGCCCCTGAGGACCTGGATCGAATTATTGTAGAATTGACAGGGCTATATAACATATCACATACTCAAAGAACAGTGGAACGTCCCTGAGGACCTGGATCGAATTATTGTAGATTTGACATGGCTATATAACATATCGCATACTCAAAGAACAGTGGAACGTCCCTGAGGACCTGGATCGAATTATTTCAGAATTGACCCGGCTATATATCATATCACATACTCAAAGAACAGTGGAACGCCCCTGAGGACCTGGATCTAATTATTGTAGAATTGACACGGCTATATAACATATCACATACTCAAAGAACAGTGGAACGCCCCTGAGGATCTGGATCGAATTATTGTAGAATTGATGTGGCTATATAACATATCACATACTCAAAGAACAGTGGAATGCCCCTGAGGTTCTGGAGCAGAATTATAAGCGAGTAGGTAAACCTAGATGTAATTTTCTTATCCCAAAAAGAGAGGTAGGTCCCAGAGGTTCTCGGCACAGAAGCTGGTCTCTGTGGAAGGACAGTGGAGCAAAGACCCAGGTGTACATAACTTACATTTATTTTATTTGTTGAAGTACTTATTTCAGGCTGATAACATTCTCTGACTTAGCTAAGTCTGTGTAAAGGCTGCTCTAGGGTGTCTGGACTGTTTTTTTTGTTTTGTTTTTTCTGTGCTCCCCTGACACACAGCAAAAATACTCCAATCACCTCTTCAGCATGCCGTAGTGCTTCACGGGTTAATTGCCTGTCCCTGCAGGCTTATTTTCTAAAAAGATTTTAAATCCTACAGGCGGGAGGGTTTCCTGCCTCATGTGCTTTGAACAATAATTCAAAGTGGAAGTGAGGGAAACCTGGTTGGATTAGCGAGCATTCTAACACCAAACCCCCTGATTGTACCCATTCACATTGCGGTGCTACCCTTTCAGACAATTCTTGGTAAACTACAATACAGTGTAATACAGCTTTGATTTGCCAGTCTCAGTCATGCGAGTCTCTCAATGTCAAGGCTCTGATTGGACAATGCCCGGCGGTGGTTATGCCGCAAAGAGTATGTAGTTTGACAAACAAAACAAATCTCTACCAGTGTCTACACCCTCGCCTCAGTCCTGCAGATTGGCTAATGCGGTAGTGAATGTACAACAGATGTTTTGGACTACACCTCCCATGATGCTTTGCCAGGATTATGGGTGTAAGAGCATTATGGGGGATGTAGTCCACAATATCTGGAGTGCCGAAGGTTGCCTATCCCTGGTCTACATTATTCTGTCTGATTTTGGACAGCAGTGATCGGCTGAGAGCTCTTGGGGTGGCACTCTCTAGAATTGCGAGTTCTCTGCAAATTCCTGTTTTCGTGAACAGCCCTGCCTAATAATGTACATATGTTTTTATAATTATCAAGTAACCCTTGATGTTCCAAGATATTATTTTTGTGACATTGTATTCATTATTTGTTGGTTTGCTGAACATAAACCACTTATTAAAGTAGATCTACTGCAGCTTTGAGCTTAAAGAACGTGTTTGTGAGGAGCCTCGCATTTCAGAGCATACAGCAGCCACGGGGTGTGTGCAAGATTTATAAAGTGCTATAAATAAATCCTGGGGAAAAAAAAGTTCGATTTTAAGGCTGAGGTCGCTTCAGGCACCTGCAAAGGGGAATAAAAGGCCTGTAGATTAGAAATTAATGGTAACATCAATTAGGGAATGTATTGACTTGAATTTTCACTGCAGGCAGTAAGAGAAAGCTCACTTAACTCTTTGGGGGCAGTCCAGTACAAATGAACTAACAAATTAAAGAGATACTGTCATTAAAAAAAAAGATTACTGAAATTCCACTTGCAAAGCTTAGACCAAAATCTGGTCAATCAATTTCCTCTTTTTAAATTTAAAATGTTGGTCATGGGACACCGATATGGAGAAGAAGACAGTATGGGAGAACCAAACCATGTGTTATATCAGGATAACTTTGAAACATGCAGCCATTCCTCTCAAAAATACAGCAAAGTATATTGCTATCTTTAATAAATAAATCCCACTTGTGGCAAGTTCCCTTTAATCAAATCTAACTGCAACATTTTCAGATTGTATTGTCCAATGCTAATGCTGGTATCAATTGAATAGTGTTTTCTAATATTCTTCCAGGACAGTACAGTGCTGTACAGTGAAGAGGAGCCCCAGCAGACGCCATCTCCTCCTCCCTCCCTGGACCCCCCCTCCACGACAGGCCTTCTTGCGAGCCCAACATGCATGCCGTGCTGTAGTAATGCTCTGACAGCTGGACCTCGCAAGAGTTGGAGAGGACCTGCTGAGGTGGGGGGTGGGGGAGATGGCATCTGCTGGGTCCCCTCTTTACTGTACATGCAGCCAGTGGCTTGGGGGTCTGCAGGGCCATATATGCATATAGAGAGAGAGAAATAATTGCAAAATATATGTACACATGTGAGGTCCAGGCCCGTTACAGCTGTATTGGCTGTACCCCACCCCCTGCCGATGGCTACCTTGGGTTGACAAGTCTGGTTTAGGATGTTGGGAGTAAAAAGTGTGTTAACCAACACCTGTAGTGTTTATGGTTGATCTTCACTACTATCCATATACAACACTGAACAGTCCAGCACCCAAGGTCTGCAATTTGCCGCTACTTTAAGATTTAGAGAATTAGGGGGGGGGAGGGGGGAGGAAAGACGTGTTATCTCAAAGGTCACAAGTTTACAAACAGTCTTAAAGCAAAAGATAAAACAGACAGCATCTCCCTGATGTATTTTATCAGCGAGATATGGACTGGGACGTGATAAACAACTCTTTAGCATCACTGACTTGCAAGGGATTCTGGGTAACCGACACCAGTTCAGTCTGGCCGCTATTCATTGAAAGACAAAAGGGCATTTTTTTATAAAAGTGTTATAGAACAGGTTGCATGGTTTTTTGGGGCATTTTCTTGGCACAAGCTATTAAATATGTTGTTTTTTTCATCTCGTTCTTCTTTTGCGCCCTAACAGCCGTTTTTGAATAATCATTATTATTTTTTTCAGTGAAGAAATGAATGAATCAATCTGTCTGTCTAGAAACGTGTTCTGTTTCACGAGCACCCTAACATCGGCGGTGCTTTTATGGTAATGGATATTGCTGCAAAAAATGAAAGAATTTAGGCAAATGACGGAAAGAAGACAACTCTTTCTAGACCATACTTAGAATAGTTCAATAACTATTTAAAAATTGCTTTCGGAACATCTTGATAAATCCCGCGCCCCCCTCACTTTAGTAACAACTCTGCCAGTACCTAACACGTCCCTATGCTTAGTAAGAGCTGATCTTCCCTACACCCTGTTTGCTACATCTGTAATAACATCTGCCGTGACCGGGAAATGGCTGAGTTATCTCAGCCAATCCTCATCATTCATTGCTTTTACTGTGAGCGCAGTGTGCGTCCAATAAGACTCTGTGCAGTAGGGGTTTAGGGGATATACACACAAAAAGCCAAATATGCACAATAGACCCACTTACAAGGGGGTCATCTTGCGCCCTAGATTTCTACAGCGGCGTATAAATAAATGCCAGATTGTTGTCTGTGTATGAAAAATGCTAACTTTATTTTAAGTTATCTGCAGTGTATTCACTAAACTGGCTTTTATACAATAAGACAGCTTATTAATATAATGGAGTTAGTGATATTGTTTTCCAATTCAGCTCTTTTCGGTACATTTATAGAACCTGCAATTCCCTTGTCTATTTCCTCTAATTCCTTTTTTAAATTAATAACCACTCACTGATGGTTACCAGAGAAACCCTATAATACCGTAGCCCTTATATGTATGGTGTCCCACTCCACTCTCCAAATACAGCCAGATATTTCTAGTTTTGTCTGTTGCCTCACGCTATTCCCATGAAATGTGTTAAAGTGTCTGCCAGCTACTTTGTAAATCTATTATCTCCAGATATTGCAAATACAAGGAGCAGTTTAGAAGTGTGGGGCCCTCCGCCTTTGATCTCCAAGGGTTGACGTTAATGGGGGTATAATATTTACCCTCTTCATATATTTGAAGTGTTTGCTTGGGACGCAAGACGTACCAATGTGTCTGCATCACGGGGCACACACAATACTTGCCAGGGCAGGTTAAACTTGCGTTACGAGGGCCTGGAAGCTGCTGCAGGTTATTTTGTACCAAATGTATTTATTTAATGTATACGTATATTTGTATATTTACACTTGGTTTGGGGGTCAGTGTAGCATGGGCTATATTTTGGGATAAGATGTAGAGCCTGTCTGTCGTTCAAAATGCTGTTTATGATGTTTGTTTTAGTGATAGATAGACAGACATATAAATAGACAGACAGACAGACAACTAGACGGACTGATAAATGGATGGATAGGTAGATATAGATAGACAGACAGACAGATAAATCGATGGATAGATAGACAGATGGATTATTAGATATTCATTGACAGGCTGATGGATAAATAAATGGACAGACAGATGGATAGATACAGGGACAGATAGATAGATAGATATAATTAGCCATTTCATCCATTACCCAGGGCTGTTCTCACTGTGGTAACTAACTCTGAGAGGTAAAATCATTATTAGTACCCCTAGATTAAAACATTCTCTCCTGACATGAACTGCTCCCAGGCAATCCACCAGTTCTCTGTATATAGACATGATGAACAAATGTTGATTTTACTGTCCGAAAATACAGCTTTATCTCATGGTATGGCAGAGTTTCTTCATAGTAATTCCATAGAACTCCCTGTACGCAGGCGATATGGACACAGTGTCACACTACTGATAAACCTTTTCAATCCAAAATTAGATCCATTTTCACTTGTGTTTTAACTACTGGAGTCAAGAGTTCTAAACACAAGCAAACCTGTTACTTTTGGACATCTGTACAGATCTATTCAAAAAGTAAAACAATGACTGTGGGGTTTGTGCAATAAACAGAGAATTGTGGGGACTTCAAAAATGATTTGTAAAAAGAAGTCAAGCCGGGATAACAGCTGGATTGCATAATGTTTCCAGGACAGCTATCTGGACCTAAAATTAACCATTTGGATTTTATTATAATACTAGTTATTCACTAACACGTTAAGGTTAATCCATACACAGTGAGTTGACACCTGCGCTCTTTACAAAATAACCCCCAAATAATGTTTTAAGCAGATCATTGTTTATATCGGCTTTGAGTTAAATAAGAAGACATGTTTCAGTGTGTGCACCACTTCAGAGTGGTTCCATTAAATATTGGGTGTGAATACACTATATTGCTGGTACTGTATTTAACCATAACCTGGCCTTATCACAAAGCACAACCAACCATCCCACATGTATCAATGCTCTTTTATGTAAGTTAAGTTCCAGGCCCCATAGCTACCCGTAGCTTCAATTTCCATGTCCGTTTAGAGGGCACTCTGGGCAATATCCTTCAATATTCCAAGAGTTTTATTGTCCCTTGATTAATTGAATTGTATTTTTCTGAGATATATTATCTATTCCATGAAGTGGCTGAATGTTCTGAGAAGTGGCTAAAATCATTCAAGCGTGAGTGTTGTGAGAGTCTTTGAGACATTAATGATAATCAAAATATGTGTTTTTGTGTCCGTGGCGTCGTGCCCAGCTCTGATTCATTGTGTAGACCCTCTTTGAAGCCATAAAAATAGACTTGTCATTTTTATTTTGCATGTTTTTATATTCCGAATGTGACTGCATGTTGTTTCACTTATTGGTTTTTTCTTCATTATTTTTCCAATTTCATAGCTATTACATCATTTGTGTGGTGTAAATGTGGGGGTTACTTAAAAACATGGGCTTTATTTCCCAGTAGCACAGACCATTATTTTATTGATGTGAGATCACGCTGAGGTCAGCTTCTCTCAGGTTATTTGTAGAAATAATGTTATAAGGAATTTCATTATATATAAATAGCATAAAATAAGAGAATATCAATATATTGCTATACAAATATACACATATACATGTATACAATACACACACATATGTATTTATATGTATGCACACTTATACATACATCCACCAATACATATACCTAAATATGTACAAATGTGCTCACACATATATAAACCCGTATATATGCATATTCACACATAAGTATACACACATTCGCATACATATACACAAACACACACATATATTTTTACACACATATGCACATAGAAATGCATACCCATATATATACACCTACATGCATTTGAATGTGAGAAGGCATGTGTCTGTACATAGTACTTTATATATCGCTATAATAAACATGGCATTAGATTGCATCTTCACATGTGGATACATATGACAGAACAGTGAGATAATGATTGGGGGGGCGTTCATGTAAAATGTTGGTAGTGAGACAGGGAACCCAAATTAACATTTAGTCTTGGTATTTCTAAATTCCCTCTCAGTACTTCGATTTGTGGGTCCTCCATTGAGTGGCCAAGCTGGGTAAAGTGGTGTCCCACAGGAGTGCAGTACGATTCTTCTTTGTGGTGTTTAATGGAGTGTCTGTGCATATTCATTGTGGGATTTAAATGCTGGGTGGTTTCCCCAATGTAGCATCCTAGGTGGCATTGGGTGCATTGAATCATGTATACCACATTGCTGGATGTGCAGGTCCCTAAATGACTCTGATTTGTGCTGTGTTGAGTATGAGGATCCTTTAATGCTGTAGGTTTCATTGTTGTGGGTGGCTGTGTTGTCTGTGTATATGCGTCGGCACAGTTTGCAGCCAGGTTTTATCACTGTCTGTTCTTTTTTGCTTTTTTTTTTTTCCCACTAGCTTCCTGTTGATTAATTTTTGCAGAAGATTTGGTGGTTGTCTAAAAGTCAAAATGGGGGATTCAGAGAAAATGTTTTTCAGAGTTTCATCTTCTGCTAGCATTAGTTTAGATTACCTTTAATCATTTTCCATATTTCTTTGAGAGCTGGGTTTTAGGTGACCACAAGTGGTACGCGTACAACCCAGCTCTCAAAGAAATATGGAAAATTATTAAAGATAATTATTACATTATCACATTATTTTGTTTAGCTCCATGTTTTTGTTTCTATTATAATTTTTATACAATAAATAAGCAACTACGAGGATTATCCCTGTTCATTTCATTGGATATTCTCAGTATCGCAATAGATTCCTCATTTTTCATTCTCTTGATCTATTCTCCAGGTTCCCAAGTTTTGTGGATGTCACGTTGGAATTGGGTAGTCGAGCCTAGAAGCATAATGAGAGGATGCACCGAGACACGGTCCCTTCCAAGCCCTCTCTTCTGGCTTTCAGCCAAACTGGAAGGTTACTAGGAGGTTACCCTGTCTGACGTTCTCTGAAATACCCATCGCTTGCTACGAGGGCTGCCAGCAATCTTGTAAGTGTAACACTAATCTCATTAATATGACCTCCCGATATATACGTACACCTGTTACATTAGCTGTTTGTACAGTCCCTGTTTCCTATTTTAAACACTTTGAGTAGCAGTCTACATTCCTCTCTGTCTACAGTTGGTCTCACTGTGTTTTCTATAGCACATTATATGTGAATCCATCCAGGGAACTTGGCAAGGGCTGCATAAACTAGCCCCCTACCAGATGTCCGACTCTACGAAGACTGGTTTGAACTTTGCACTTACCAGCTCAGGTTTGGAAAAGATCTTTATAAATGTCCCATTTTATGTGCTATTAAAAATCAGAGTTTTGAGAAGTAGGTATTGCAAGCCCTGAATTTGAACGTTTATTCTCTGTAAATTTCTTACCTGGATGAGTTTAATTATTTTTCTTTTTTTTACCTTTGCCAGTTTTACTAACTCTCCCTAACCTTCCCCTGAGAATATTGTATATGCTTATATACTTTTTATAGTTAAAATACTGTTAGTACACTGAACGAGCAATTGTTCTGCTAATTATCTCCACTTCTTTTAGATTGTAAGCTCTTTTGATCCCAGCTCTTGACACCTCTTCTCAAACTTGTTTTGTCTCAATTACATGTATGTGTGTTGACCCAGCCTACATTGCTGTGGTGTATGTTTGTGCTACAAATAATAATGACAATAATAATTTTCCAATGTTACATTAAAGCCCATATGGGAGTTGGGTTTATTATTTTTATAGTCCAGCATGTGTTTATGTAACAGGACGCTAATCTGTGTCTGTACTGGTTTACAGAGTGTGCCGTGCAGATCCCAAGCACTTTGTTCAGTGAAACCGACTTTAAATCTCCAACAGGTGCCCATCGCATAGCTCGGCTATAGACATGCTAATTGGTGCAACTGTAAGAGATACCACCAAACCCGTCTCAGGTTCACCTGTTAATACAGCTATTTAGAATTTCATGCTAATCTTCAAGCCATGAGTTATTTGACTTGTTTGACACACTGTGTGACTGTTTTATGAACTGTGTGCCCTCGATCCCAGCTTGCCGTATAGCACTGAAACTAGGACCGAATCAGAGCAGGTTTCTTTTATCTTGGATTTAGAACCCAATAACGGAGGGTTCCTAACCTCCACCCCGCTGGCACGTTACTTTGGTCTGCTGTTTGACTCTGACCTGTCCTTCACTTCTTACATAAATTCTGTCACCAAATCCTGTCAATTTTACCTTAAAAATAGTTCTTGCACTTGCCCCTTTCTCACTAAGGATGCAACTAAGACACTCGTCCATGCTCTCATTATTTCTCACATGGATTATTTAAACCCTCTGCTTGTTGGACTGAAGAATACCCGGATTGCATCTGTACAGTGTAATGAACATCTCTGCTAGGCCCATTAATCTTACCTCCAGTAACTCTCTATCTTCATCTGTCTGTCAGTCTCTTTACTGGCTTCCTGTTTTATTTAAGATTCTGTTCAAAGTTCTCGTACTTGCTTACAAAGCTCTCCATAACCATGCACCTGCTTACATGTCCTCCCTTATTAGCAGATATACTCCAGCTTGGCCTCTTTGCACCGCCGACGAACTGTTATTTTCCGTTTTTCGAAACCCGCACACCAGCCTTTCGCCTGCAGGACTTCTCCAGAGCTGCCCCTTCCTTTTGTATTGCCCTCCCATGGGACAACCGACTCTCACCGTCTCCCTGTCTTTAAAAATCCCTAAAAACACACTTCTTTAGAGTAGCCTATCATCCCACCTCTTAACTCCTCATCCCTTACAACCTTCCTCTGCTGCCTCCCATGTACTGTGCCCTTTCCTCCCAAGCACCTCTCCAATCAAGCCTCCCAACAATCCCGATTTTGTCAGGACAGTCCTGATCTGCCGTACTGACTTTGTTCCCTGGTGTCCATCTTTTTGAAAGCACAATAAACAGGCTTACTCTCCACATTTAGGGCACTAGGTCCCTGCAGAGAGCACAGAAACAGTGCTCTCTGCATGACCGTCCCTCAGTTGGCCAGCCTGCTTGATTGGCAGGCCGCCTGCCGTGCATTCACTCCAGTCTCACCTGCCCTTTCTGGGTAGGTCCGCTCCCTCTATGTGGAGCGAGTGACATGATATCTTTGTATTTGTCCCTCATCCTTTTAGATTGTAAGCTAGTTTGGACAGGGCCATCTCCACCTACTGGACCCATATGTTTTGCTAGATTACCGGTATCTTGTTTTACCTATTGTATTGCACTGTTGAATGTGTTTGCCCTAAATAAATAATTGTAATTGGTATCAGAGGGAAAACATAATCTGTTCTCCCAATGGTCAGATTTTATGAAAAAGAAGACACATTTTTGGGAAAAGGTGGTGAAAATATTATTATTGTGTTCTTCAATGGTCAGTCTAAATTTTGTAGTATGTTCGCTATACCATGGGACTGATTCTCTAAACATCGAATTGTAGCAACTTGAAAACAGAACTCAACATTTAAGAAAAAATTGTGGACTTCAAAATCTTCAACAACTCTACTTTAGTCAGAGCTGAAGTGATTTTATATTTTGGGTTTCTATTTTTAGTTCAGTATAGTTCATTGTTTAGTGACTAAGCTACAAAGAGCTGTGGTTGTGGTGCCAACTGATTTGCAAGAACCCAATTAGCCGGGTTGGTGAATTTTTCCTTCTTCATTATTATGGGTAAGACTCCCTTCCTACCTCATTATGAAGCCTACAATCTCTGTTCGTTAAAATTACATGGACTTCAGACATGTCATAACTTTAAATATTTTACGCACTCGTGTTAACAGCAAGGCGTCGTGTCAGCGATTATTGAGAAGTGTAGCGTACAGTTTAATCAGAACATTTTTATGAAGACTTTGACTGAATATGATGGTCTGAACTATTTTCTTAATTTACGAAAAAACTTATTTTTTTCAAAAAAGTGTCAATTGGACTGAGTGTCCCTTTAATAACTGCAGACTTCTCGCCATTTGTAAAGCTACCTTCAGTGATACAGAGTAAAAAGAGTTCTTAATAAATTAATAAAATCTGCTCAAGGCTTTATTCCCCTGCGAATTGTGATTTGACTTCCACAATTATCCATACTGGAAAAACAACTAAATTGGAGAAGTGTTTTTAGCTTTTAGGCTGAATTTTGAAGTTAAATTCTTTAGTCACTGTTTAGTGAATAGGACCCTACATGACTCTAGTTTGTGCTGTGGTGAGTATGAGTGATAAGTAAAATCTATTGACACCTATGGCTCTCGCTAACAGTGTCAGTGCTATTAATTTGGTTTGGTTATAGTAGCAGGGCATGGAATTCTGGGAGCGTGGGTTTAATTCCTCTTGTGGTTTCCTGACCTCTGACCCAGAAGTATCTCCTGGGCCCGTTTAAAGTGAGCGTACTATTTAAACTGTCAGTGCGTGCTGTCTGCGTCCTCGTGTTTGATTCGGAAGGTCTGGGGATTTTTGGTGACATGTCTTAGGGCCGCAGGGAGAGTCTAGTCTTTCCAACCTAAGGTAGGTCTCTGGCCGGCTGTCTGTTTATAAATAACCGACATGTTAACTTACAACATGCACCTTTTAACCCTGTCACAGCCAATACAACACGTCACCATGTTTCTCTGGCTTCAAATGGAAAATTCTAAAGTAGATCTGTTAATTTGCTGTTACCTACACTTGTCAACATTGCAATTAAAGCAGCGTTGCCCCATGTTGGGTTTAAATCCCCTCCTGTTCCTAACGTCACATGCCATCTTGTACGTTAGTGCCAAGAGAAAGGAGGACGTGATCTTGTCTGTCAGTGCCTTCATCTTCCAGTACAGCAATGTCTTCAGTCCCTGGAGGAGGCACGTTGCTGCTATACTTATGTTTGTGCATCCAGAATGGACGCCTGTAGAAGATTCCACAAGACGGCAGATCTTCCGATGATCAACATGTGCGCAGTGAGAGGCCAAACACATGTATTTCACAACACATGAGAATAAATAACTTTTTATATCGTGACTTGCGAGATGTGGCAGACAGACATTGTTTAAAGCATTGGGTTTAGGCAGCAGTGTGTGCAGAGATAGAATGTGGGGGAGTGGTTTCGGACAGCGGTGTGTGCAGTGATAGAATGTGGGGGAGTGGTTTCAGACAGCGGTGTGTGCAGTGATAGAATGTGGGGGAGTGGTTTCAGACAGCGGTGTGCAGTGATAGAATGTGGGGGAGTAGTTTCAGACAGCAGTGTGTGCAGCGATAGAATGTGGGGGGAGTGGTTTCAGACAGCAGTGTGTGCAGTGATAGAATGTGGGGTGGATGTTTCAGACAGCAGTGATAGAATGTGGGGGAGTGGTTTCAGACAGCGGTGTGTGCAGTGATAGAAAGTGGGGGAGTGGTTTCAGACAGCGGTGTGTGCAGTGATAGAATGTGGGGGAGTGGTTTCAGACAGCGGTGTGTGCAGTGATAGAATGTGGGGGAGTGGTTCGAACGGCGGTGTGTGCAGTGATAGAATGTGGGGAGTGGTTTCAGACAGCTGTATTATTGCAGTATTAGAATGTGAAGTGGTTTCAGACAGTGGTGTGTGCAGTATTGATAGAATGTAGAGGTAGTTTCAGACAGCGGTGTGTGCAGTGATAGGAATGTGGGGGTGGTTTCAGACAGCGGTGTGTGCAGTGATAGAATGTGGGGGAGTGGTTTCAGACAGCAGTGTGTGCAGTGATAGAATGTGGGGTGGATGTTTCAGACAGCAGTGATAGAAAGTGGGGAAGTGGTTTCAGACAGCTGTGTGTGCAGCGATAGAATGTGGGGGGAGTGGTTTCAGACAGCAGTGTGTGCAGTGATAGAAATGCAGAAGTGGTTTCGGAGCAGCAGTATTGCAGTGATAGGAATGTGGGAGTGAACGAACAGCTGTGTACAGCGATAGAATGTAGGGGATAGTGGTTTCAGACAGCAGTGTATTGCAGTGATAGAATGTGGGGGAGTGGTTTCACACAGCAGTGTGTGCAGTGATAGAATGTGGGGGAGTGGTTTCAGACAGCGGTGTGTGCAGTGATAGAATGTGGGGGAGTGGTTTCACACAGCAGTGTGTGCAGTGATAGAATGTGGGGGAGTGGTTTCAGACAGCAGTGATAGAATGTGGGGGAGTGGTTATGTGGGGGAGTGGTTTCAGACAGCGGTGTGTGCAGTGATAGAAAGTGGGGGAGTGGTTTCAGACAGCGGTGTGTGCAGTGATAGAATGTGGGGGAGTGGTTTCAGACAGCAGTGTGTGCAGTGATAGAATGTGGGGGAGTAGTTTCAGACAGCAGTGTGTGCAGCGATAGAATGTGGGGGGAGTGGTTTCAGACAGCAGTGTGTGCAGTGATAGAATGTGGGGTGGATGTTTCAGACAGCAGTGATAGAATGTGGGGGAGTGGTTTCAGACAGCGGTGTGTGCAGTGATAGAAAGTGGGGGAGTGGTTTCAGACAGCGGTGTGTGCAGTGATAGAATGTGGGGGAGTGGTTTCAGACAGCAGTGTGTGCAGTGATAGAATGTGGGGTGGATGTTTCAGACAGCAGTGATAGAAAGTGGGGAAGTGGTTTCAGACAGCTGTGTGTGCAGCGATAGAATGTGGGGGGAGTGGTTTCAGACAGCAGTGTGTGCAGTGATAGAATGTGGGGGAGTGGTTTCAGACAGCGGTGTGTGCAGTGATAGAATGTGGGGGGTGGTTTCAGACAGCAGTGTGTGCAGTGATAGAATGTGGGGGGGGGGTTGTTTAGACAGCTCTGTGCTGGTTTACAGAAACAGATTTTAGAATGTGATTAGAGTATTTTAACAACCTTTTCTCTGAGTTGTAGTGCTGTGAAATCGATGGCTGGCAGGGGATTAGGGGGATGTAGTCCAACATGTTTGGGTAAAGGGGAGAGGTGCGCAGTGTGGGAATTGGCACCAGGTTCTACAGGGACAAGCTGCAGGGGACAGTGTGACGGGGCGAATAATAAAATAGCCACCAGCCTCGATATTGCTGAATCAGCCGCCACATTGGTTTTCCAGATCTGTGTGCAGCTGTTTGACCTACTGAGACAAGCTGTTCTTTAATCTGCCGCCGGTGGGGGAAGATCCAGTCACTAAGAAATCATTGTGGTTTGGTCACCAAGTCCTAACACTAGACCAGCTCTCGATTGGAATTCCAAAATATTACCCTTTGATGATCAAGTAGCTTTTGTCTGGAGATACAGAGGCCGCAGCTGTCCCAGGCAGCACTCTCAAAATCTCCCTGAAAATAGTTTGAGGGTCAAGAAGTCGTTCTGTAGAGAACATATTGGGGATAGGGGTTAAATCTCACATATTTTACCCGATTTCAAAGCTGCAAATATAATTTATTAAGCAATTCTATTTTGTACATTAGTTTAATATTTTTAGAAACCTTATTTTGCGAAGTTAAGTAGCAAAAAGAAAAAAAAATGTCTTGATTAAAATGTATCATAGTTGACAAATGAAGGATAAGACAGGTTATTGCAGATTTTCCCATATAAGGATAGTGACCTTGATTTAATATATTTGGAAAAGCTCTTCAAATGAACTAATATTTTGAAAAATATTTTAATGTTTTGCTATATTGATATATTTTTTTGATATTTTAATATTAAAAAAAAGTTTTAAAAGTTTATCCAAAAATTTGAAAAAGTATAAAAAAAATATTAAACTGAAGCCAGTATTTGCAAACGCAACCCTGTCTCTACACAGCAATATCAAAGTACATTATAAACAAAATTAAAATCTCAATGATTTTCTTACTTTCCTACTACATTTCCAAGCTGAGATATATTGCCAACATATTCTCCAGCGTTTTACATTCGGATATATTTTACAGAAAGTAAATGACAGACAAAATGTTTTTAACAGATACAAGAAATTAAGAGAGCCTTGCTCAAAGGAGCTAACTATCTAGGAGATTAACAGGTGCAATTCTCCAGAATGTTGCATGCAATTAATCCAGGAAGCGGCTATTATTGCAGCCAATCCCATTCCCTGGTGTCCGGTTGTGGGTATACGCCCACAAACATTTATTTGAATGGTAGCCCTAATTTATTCCTACTAGGATATAATGACGATAGACCCTCTAACTCAAGTGGATCATGCGGGCAGCCCTCTTTTATTCTCTGTGGCCTACATCTGGTAACACTAGCGAAAGTCCATAAAATCACCTTTACGAGGTTACTTCTCACTGTGTGTCTCCATATTGCCTTCTTGCTTCCATACCTCCAATGTTGGTTGGATCTCGCTTTAAGAAAGTGGACAAAGTGAACGTGGTTGGAGGAAAAAGAAAACCGTTTGGTACCGTGACATATTAAATGAAACATACATTCTGTCCACAGTGCGCTTGACATGTTACGTAGTAATCTAGGTTGAAAAATGTCTCCGCCATCAAGCCTTCTCCACATCTGTTAATGCTTTTCTTCCAAAAGAAAGCTAAAACCTCCAATATGTAATGATTATTTATCCTTGTAACAAAAACGTAGAACAGCAGAAATATAGTCGATAAAAGAAACCGCCGTCCGCCTAAGCAGCGAAGCCCTCCTGTACACTTCCTCGGCAGCTGACACTTTGCAGGTAGCTGATGTGGTGAGTTCCAGCGTCTCTAAGCTGTGACCTTGTGGACGGCTACACAATCCCTTGTAAAACAGTCTCTCTGATCTTGCTCGCTAATCCATCATCCCTTTAATAGTGTTACCAATTGATCAGGAATGCAGATCTATGTGGTATACCACACACGTGGCACCCATCCTCAAACTGTCACTGGAATTGGAGAGAGAAAGGAAAAGCAAACCGCGGAATGTTTTCTGTCTTTTAACCACTTCACTGGCCGTCTGTAGGATTTATTGGGATTTAAACGGCCAATCTGTACATAGGTCACATGGTCCTGTGACATCCTAAACTAGCTAATTGTTGTTATTATTATTTATATAGTGCCAGTAAATTCCGTAGCGCTGCTCAATGGGATCCGGGGAGGTGTTTCAACTGGGTCTGTTGCTCACCGATGTGCGAAATATTATAAATCAACTTTAATCCATACATTAATTTATATAACGATAGTAATTTGCGTTTTGGATGGAACTTTTCATTGGTTGTATTCCGTGCTTTTATTTTGTAAGCTAGCAATGGAATAATTCTGATGGTTTTTACACTGGGTTGGGAAACAGATTGTAATATTGCTCACCCTCGGTGATAATTGTTATATGGTCTTTACAAAGGGAGAGATGATAGGTTAACAGACCCAAAACACGGAGCTTCTAGCAAACAAGATGATGAATTGGCCTCTAGACTTACCGCACAATGAAGTCACTAGATGTGTGAATATATATTTCTTTGAGGATGGAATTTTACTTTTAACCCATTCATGACAGATAATGTGCCAGGGTCTCAGCCCCCGTGAAGAGGTTAATGCATCTGAACCTGGTCCTCTTCACTTTAGGTATCTGTCATCATTATGTCTGTAAAATCGCTAGCTGATTGCTCGCTGCGTCATTGTAAAATGCCGTTCGATACGCCAGCGCTGTATAAAATGTTAATAATAATTTCATTCTATGGAAAGCCACCGTGCCATTTCTAGGTAGTCTATATAGTGTCGTGTTTATATTCACCAAATGGTTCTAGAAAAGGTCAGTATGGCGAATTCTTTCTAATCCAGCTTTGAAAATATCGCTGACTGTAACAGTAACTGTACCCTAAGTATCTGACCCTTTACCCTAAAAACCTGATAATCTGACCCTTCACCCTGAGAATCCGGCCATGTACCCTGAAACCCAGCGAATCGGACCATTCACTCTGAGAATCTGGCCATTTATCCTAAAACCCTGAGAAGTTGACCCTTTGCCCTCAGAATCTTTCATCAAAATACTTTCTATATTAAAGACCGACTGTGCGTTTTTATAATGGTTCTGCAAACTTTGATTATTTTTGGTTAGATGTTTAACCTTTTCTGTATCAGAAATAGTTGCAGTTACTGGCTTGTGTTCTGAGAATTATGGGAATTGTAGTTCAGCAACAGCTGATGTGCCCTCTTCTGCATCCTCTCCCCCCTTACCCTTGTTTCTCTCTATGTCTCACCCTCTCTCCCTTCTATCCTCAAGCCCCTCATTACTCCCTACTGTCCTCCACCCCCTTACCCTTATGTCTTCCTTCGGCCCTCCAGCCTTTTTTACCCTCACCTCTCACCCTCTCCAGTTAGTGCCGTTACAAGTCGTGTCTATATTTGCTGCTGTCAGCTACCTCTTGTCCTAGTGTCTCTCGCTGTCTCTTTCCCTCTCTTACTTATCTTTCCCTCCTCCCCTCCACTCCTACTGACCCTTGTCTCTCCTTATCCTGCCCTTCACCGCCCCACCTCCCCCCACCCGTGTCTTCCTCTTGTGCACTCCACTCCATCTTAACCCTTAACTCATCTGCCTGCTCTCCACCTAACTTACCCTTGGCTATAACTCTTTAATTCCTACCTTCCACTCACTTTTACCCTAGTCTCTTCATCTAGCCGTCCACTCCGTTTCTTACCCTCATGTCTCCCTGTCCACATTATACCGTCCCCCCTACCCTTATATCTCCCTGTTCACAAAATACCCTCCCCCTTACCATCATACCTCCCTGTCCACATAATACCCTCCCCTCCTTACCCTTATATCTCCCTGTCTACATTACCCTCCTCCCCTTACCCTCATATCTCCTTGTCCACATTATACCCTCCCCCCTTATTCTCAAATCTTCCTGTCCATATAATACCCTCCCCCCTTACCCTCATATCTTCCTGTCCACATTATACCCTCCCCCTTACCCTCATATCTCCCTGTCCACAAAATATCCTCCCCCATTACCCACATATCTCCACATAATGCCATATCCCCCTTACCCTGTGCACATAATACCCTCCCCCTCTCCTACCCTCATATCTCCCTGTGCACATAATACCCTCCCCCTCTCCTACCTTCATATCTCCCTGTCCACATAATACCCCCTCTCCCTAATGCCCCCAGTCCTCTTACCCTCATCTGTAGCTGTTCACATGATACCCTCCCCCTCCAGTTATCGTTATCTCTCCGCATCCCACTCCTGCCATTCCTTCCCCTATTATTTCACACCCTGTCTGTTACCCTAGTTTGTCGTCCTCTTGCCCTCCACCCTCTCTTACCCCGTCTCTCCCTCTCTCCACCTTCTTATCTCCCTGACATTTCTTCTTCCTGCCCCCCTTCCACTGACTCTCAGAGGGGTGTGCCTGGCCACAAAATGTGCTGTGCCTCTCGAGGCCATGCTTTATAGCCGATTGGCTAATCTGAAGAAAGGGTGTGGCCATCTCCCCCATGACATCAGCGTCGGCACACAGACAGGGAGCTCTTATATTGGATTGTGTCAATGTATGTATGTATATATGTATGTATATAAAATCCTTCCCAGAATATACTCAGATTATAGAATGTAGGTAGCCACGTTTTATATTGACTTGCCAAAGGAAATACTGCCCGCCTCTGCATACAAAGAGTTGTAAAGAGTTAAATGCGTCTGCTCTTTGCTGACGGCTGCTTTGACTACTCCGTAGCGCCTTGCATTTACATGATGGTGTTTTGACTGACCCCTAGTGGTCATATATGGGAAGTACACTACTATTTTAGACAAGTATATGATCTATTAAGCAGTATGTGCAGTAAATCAACAGTGACCCCCTTCTCCTGGCTGGAAGTGTAGTATCTGAAAAAGCTGTATGTAATATATATGATAACTCTGAAGTGTTTGCCAACAGTTACCATCTATTCATAATTCAGTCAGTCAATGAAAAAGTTATGTAAGGTGAGAATTATGGATTGAAGTTCAGTGGTGTGAGATGGATCTTAGTAAAGACCCGGATCAGGTCTCTAAACCCAAAATTATCAGTGCTCTATGCAACCTTCCTTGTTGCCCCAGGTGAATGTTGCCCAGCGGCATGGTTCTTGCTAGTATTTAGCCTGTTATAAAGTCAGAGTCTGGTTAAGGATGGTGGATGCTGTAAATTATCAGTAAATTAAGTGTGGTAGATTGTCTACTCCCCATAGGGGAACAAAAGGTTCCACTATCCATTCATGATGTCTGTCATTGACATTGTTTGGTGGAATGGGCAGAGTAATTCCGTGCTTGTTTGGATCATACTCATTGTTTCGAACTTTCCCTACAATTGACCAGTCAACAAACTTGACAGATCCATGGTGTGAATCACTTTTCTCATTCTGAGTTTGTATTATTTTAATAATTATTTTTCTTTACTGTTCAGCTGAGATAGTGGTGATTGGATATGCAGCAAAGATCCAATGTTATCTTCTCTCCTGTATGAGTAAGAGCTGTGTTTTCATAAACGGGTACCATCGAAACGCTGACCGCAGTTATTTTGCCTTTTTTTGCGTAAGGGGAGTTATTTTAATCTAGGACAAAACGAAGCCAGTAAAAGACACAATTACTCGATCAGTTGTAAGGGTTATACAGTTTAACCTTAATACACATTCAAAGGGCTGAAAACAACCGGGTAGACGGGGTGGTATTACTCCACATCCAGCCACCATACCTCGTTTTTAAAAGGTAACAAACAAATCTTAGATAATTGTAATTTTAATGGAAAATAGATTTTTACAAAAAATTTTGTGACAATTTTTATTATTTTTCAGTCTTTCAAAAACAACAGGGAACAGGGCACAGAAGGGAAAAGGGGAGAGAGGGAGGGGGGAAGTAAATATTGTCAAAATGACAATGGTAATGACAAATACCATTAAGCCAGTGATCACATATTTCCAGAGCATACATTGACAGTTGGACCACGGTGATACATTTACAACACGACTTTAGCATCATAGTTGTTACAGATTCCCCTATTTGGGGTGCACCAATCTCCATGCGTCCCAAGTTGTTAAGGCTACCCTTGAGGGTGGGCAGATATTATTAAAACATTGTTCGTATATCCTCTGGTTATCTGGCTCAGATTGTATGGTCGACACAGAGGGAGTACGCTGGGATTTCCAAGCTCGTGCTGTTAGAGCAATATAGTATATAATTTTTTGTGCGTGTTTAGGCACTTCAGATGGTAGGTGCAGTAGAAGGTACGTGAGTGGGTTATGGGGCAGCGTAATTTCTTGTATAAGAACTTGTGTAGAGTCCCAGAAGGGCTGGATCAGTTACATCTCCAGCAAGTCGAAGACCTGATGAGGAATCATTTATGGATTCTCTCAGGCACCATATACCATCGGTATACCATTTTCCGCTGTGGCTTCAATAGGGTAGCGGATTTGATCTTAGGGGTATCAAATATTTTGTCCCACTTCTTCTGCATGATTTCGCATGCCAAGTCACTAGACCAGTGCCTTGCGGGTGCAGCTTTTGAGAATGGTAGCTATTCCAACAGCAGCCTGTAGCACATGGAGATTCTTTTACATGATTATTGACATTTTAATCGCAACTATCCTATCTATCCATGTCAGAAAGAGCAAGCCCCATCTTGCCAGGATTAGTTTGCAGTCATTCCAAACCCTAATATAGTTTCCCATATAAAGATCTTTGGCTTTCCAAATATTTTACACTATCTCTTCTCCATTCGAAGGTGTAAGTCCTTCGCAGGCTATCCATCACTGAGGAGGGGAGTCCTAGTCCTAAAGCTTGCAGCTTTATGGTATTTAGAGAGTCGTACGAGTGTAGACCATATTCTCCTATTAGCCTCTTAAGAGGAGAGAGAGACTCCAAGGGGTCAGAAATATATAGTAGTATATCATCCGTGAACTCGCTGATTTTATGTTCAGTGCCACTCAATTTTATACCATGAATGGACGTGTGTTCCCTGATGGCACAGAGGAGGGGCTCTAGGGCGAGGACATACAGAAGGGAGGACAGTGGGCAATCCTGTCTTGTTAGTGATGGTAAAGGGGCTGGATAGGAATCCCGCCTGCATTACTTGAGCCGTCGGATCAGAGTATAAGGCAAAAGTTTGTTTAACTAGTTGTGGAGGGAACCCATAGGTGTGCAGTGTCTTCCTCAGGAAGGGCCAGCCGAGGTGGTCAAAAGCTTTTTCTGCATCTAACGCCTGTCATCAAATTGTTTTCATATCTTAATATCATTTTTATGTTGTAATATATCATCTCATTATTTTTTTATTTCATGTAAATTGCCATTTTTATAGAAATCCCTTGAGTATGGAATCTCTGCTGTCTGACCCAATGGCCACTATATTGCAACCGTCCTTTTTTTCAAATATGTGTTTTCAGCGTTGCAGAATTTCTGCCAAGCGATTTTGAAAAGCAGCGGGCAATACTCAAACAGTGAGCATTGGTTCAGACAACTGACAATCCATGGTGCATAAAGATGTCTTCAGAAAGGGGGAGTGGCAAAGGTAGACAAGGGATTTCAGTGAAAATAAAAAAATAATATACAATGAATTCATTTGAAAAAGAAAAAAATAGATGGTAATATTATAAGGTAAAGATTATATTAACCTATTATTTTTTTTTTAAATTTAATGATGGTACTTTTCTCTTAAACCAAACATATTTGCTAAATTGAAGTTAAAAGACAACCTTTCTTTACAGAACAAGTATGAAATAGTGTCCCTTTAAATATTCATGACACCGACAATAAAGATATTGTTTTATCACGCTTCTCTTTTATGAGCAACAAACTATCTCCCATCTTCAGATATCTTTTCCACTTCCATACTTCATGGGTTGCCAGAGTTCCCCTGCAACAAAACCCTGTCTCTCATAATTCACAGCCAGCCTCTGCTCTCCTCGCTCGCTCGGGCAGGTTGCAATGGACACACAGTCGCTGTACATATCTACTCCTCCCTCATCCATGAACACCTTTGTATTCCCCGGGGTTAGTTGCCAAGCTGTGTCTTCAGGGAGTATTTACTAGTGAGAAGCTTCGCTGTGTTGTGAAGATGTAATGCTCTTGCTGGGGACTGGCACATTCTTTATCCTCAGAGCATCGATGTCCTCCTCGTGTTCTGTGAGCCAGCTCCAACGTTGTAGAATGTTACACAGTAGTGTGGATTCAATGGTAACGTTTGCTGATACACTTTTTGGGTAATTTTGACCGTTTAGCTGTTTTTTTTAAGTTTACTTTCCACAAAGAACCAATGGTAATTCATTTCTGAGAATGGTTTTCGTTTGTAATTTTGCTAATGTCGTCTGTTCTTTTTTTATGTTTTAGGCTGTCCAAGATGTTCGGCCCAGGAAGATTCTGGTAAGGCCTTACATGGAGATATGAAAAGAGAGCTTGTGTTAGGGATGTTGGAGACTCTGGTAAAGTGATATAGGGGCTCGCGGAGTTCAAAGATCCACAAGTTTGACAGAACCCGGCACATTATGTCACCAGCGAGACATGATGAACATTAAATACTTAAACTATTGGATATCTGAACCTAAATTGTGACATCAAAAGAAGCCAATTAAATTACAGAGCTCAGGTAAATTTACTTAACCCCTTGTATGTTCCCAAACCAGCCATATTAGTCATTAAATCCCTGCTGGTAAAACCTCCCTTCTATCAACTACCCTTTCAGCAAACATTCTTTTTCCTTTACATTTTATGTTTTTTTCATTTATTTTTATTTTAACGCTGGCATCAATTTCAGATTTAAATTATACCTGTGTTGTTTTTTACCCATCAGTCCCTTGAGTTATTTATCAGGGAAGCCTTAAAAATTAACAAAAGAATTACACATTTTAGTTTAAACGGCAGAGTTAATAATAATAGAAAACTTACCTTTTTGGCCTAAAATCTTCCTTGGCAGTTCCTGGTTTAGTGGTAACCCCCAGGGTGTGTTTGTCGTGTCAGCAGGCATACTTGTGATTATGTACATGTGTGTACCTTGTGTTGATAAGTATAATTTTGTGTGTGTGCATTCTTGTGAGTATATTGTTGCATCAGCAAATTACTGTGCTGTCCCGGTTCTCTTATACATAACAGTAAACATGTTGGTGTATTTGACCTGTTTTACTGTGTATAATTTAGCTTTCTTAACTCCCCTGTAGTGGTTCTCCAACCTGCAGTTTGTTTTTGATATTAAGAGGAATATTAAAATATCCTTATGCAGAAAATTGCATTTCATTATTACAATACGCTGCTTCGTTAACCTCCTCTGGAGTGAGATAATTATTGGCAGCATTTAGAAATTCTTAATTATAGCTCTTTCATACAGTGGAGATTGGTCGTCAAGAAGCAAGGTGAGACATGTCGGAAATTGCTAGAACCTTCTGCAGCTCGAATGCAGTACAGCTTTAATTTCTTTGCTCTAAGCGGCTTCAAGTTATGACCATTGCGGATTAGGAATGTCAGAGGCACCGTGTGATAAACACCACTAAAATTATGGAAAATAAATAACTGCAGAAATGATACATATGTGTTCTTTTACCGCATCATCACATCATTGCAGTCAGTTCAATGATACAATGAGTCTCAGATACACAGTGCATCCTTTTTATGCGTTCACGAAGAAAGTGTGCAATACCATCACTGGCTATTTTTTGCTTTCTTATTTTCATTTTTACTATATTTTTTTAATGTCCTTCTTTAAAATTAGTTAATCTATTGTTATTGCATTATACTGTGTTTCTACCTTATTAATGCTATGGCATCCTATGTTTGTATATTTTCTCATCCAATAAAAATTAATTGAATTTAAAAAAAGAAATAAAATAAAATAGTTGAAAAAAAATCCAATCTCTCCCATTGTTGGGATACTTTTGTAACTTGGCTGTTTTGGTGTATATTTTGCAAGTTGACTGTCGGTTCACTGCGACTGCCTGTTTAGTAAATGGACCTCATGATTTGAAACAGAACCTGCTGCTAAAAGTTACATTAATTAGCAGAACAGAAAAAACATTCTAAATGTAACTATTGAGATTTTTTAAGAATGGATTGCAGGCTACCTGCGTTAGATCCCAATAATAGTAGCTGAATTGTATTGAAATATAATTGTAAATGTATTATTACAAATGTATGAGGAGCTGGACAGCTGCCTGTTTCTAAAAGAATATGTATCAGTTAAAATGTCTGTTTGCCTTTATATTGTGACAGTTCTTACCTGAGTAATTTGTCATAAAATAATAACCCCGATTTACGAAACATCTCCCAGATGACGTAGAATTACATAGAAATACTCATTTGTAAATAGGCTAACACTCTTCATAACTTACCCTCTAGAGGTGGTCTAGACAAAATCTAAGCATCCCGATTTAATTCTCCCATCCTTTGCACCATCGATTTAATCCTGCCAACCTACATGATATATTCCCATTTTATCTTGCAGGTTCTATTCCATCAGGGCTTCGGCCAGGACGAGATCAGACTCACGGTCCTTTGGGGTGAGGTAGTAGGTTGTTTAGTTTTGGGGTTGAACCCTAAGTTTCAGATAACTATACAATCTACTGTCTTTCCTGAAGCGGCTGTAATTTCATCTAATGTTTTCTGGAAGGACACAGAATAACAATGCTTTCTGCATATATGGAATGTCGCTCATGTTTATCAATGTACAAATGTTGATATTGTGCATATTATTTTTACCTGAAGAATTAGATTGACAATTGTTAATTCTGAGATTGTATTAAAAAATAAAATGTTATGTTTTGTAAACAAATATGGCTTAGCATAGTTTTCAGACCCAGATTTCAGCACCAGAATATTGGAATAGCCAAGCAAGTTGCATTAAGTGGAAATAGCTGGAGATTTTCAGTTCGGACTCTCAAAGAATTTCCTAATTTTGGCTTCATAGTTTTGGCCCACATTATCTAATAACACATTCACGTATTTCACTCAGTGAGCCATCCTTGTATGGCAGATCAGTGTTTGTTTCACTCATTCCTAACTATGTCTTAGTAGGAAATGTAACATTTATACATTGCCTAGAATTTCTATAGAATATCCAAACCAAATTCCAGAAAAGTATGAAAATCGCTGTCCTGCGACATCACATGTAGATGTAAAGTATTTTCTAAGACTGTAAAGAGTTTGAGATTACTATGTTTTTGTTTATTTTTTTACCAAGCCTTGTAGTTGCTGCGTTGAATACACAGATAGAACTAGGAATGGCTGATTTCACAATGTTTGATGAGAATTCCGCAGCGTGCAGTGACCATGTTACAGTGTTGGGCCTGTTGCAAGGCTGTGGCAGTGTGGTGGGAATCATTCACATTCACCATGAAAAAGTACTGCAGTGTATTGTAATACCGGTTTTACTGATAGAAATTTGCAATGACAAGTATTCCGGAGATCCTCCCTTTACCAGGCATAAAGCATTGACAAAGTCCATACAGAAATACTTCATTATTTTGTATCTACTTCACTGGATTAATATGTCAACTCCGACAGTAAAAATGGCATTTTTATTATTTATTAAATAGCTTTATTAAATGGCAGAGTCCGTTTAAAAAGCAGCTTTATCGAACACTCCATGTCTCAGCGACTGCCGTGCCCACCGAGTTGCCGCACTGACTGTTGTTGCCACAGCAGGCTGAGGTAGTAGGTTGTGTGGTTGCAGGGTAGTAATTTTTGCCCCTTTCAGGAGTTAACTATACAACCTACTGCCTTCCCTGATGGGCTGCATTACATCTGCGCCACAAAGTGTGTAACACCACAACAATATGGATCTCAGCGGGCGGTCACTCAGCAATCTAGGTTGTATTATTTCGGCTCAGTGTGATTTCAAATCACTTTCCTTTGTTAGTTTTACATATACGTCTTTTTTTTTCCCACTGCTAAACCTTTAAAACATAAAATCAATAAATATATTCTCAAATATTATTCCTGATCCCGTTGTGTTTCTTTTCTAATTAAAATGCAGATTTAGTTATTTCTACCATTATTTGCAGTTTCGTGGTTCTTTCTCCTCTGTTGATTTTATTATATTTATTTTTTTTTGTTTTGTTTTGTTATTTTTTTCCCTTTCTTTCTTTCTTTCTTTCTTTGCCCTTAAACAGTGGAGATTTAGCAAACATGTGCGGCGTGCCAGGAAATTTGTATAGACACCAGCTATTAAGGTATTGTGTAAATCGTTTCCATCTGCGACGACAGAACAATACCAATAGACAAGAGCTGGTTCTAGAATCCCGCATTTGGCGAAGGATTGATTTATTAATTACCATTTCTCACAGTGCAAACTACGCTAAGAGAACAGTTGTTTTTCACCTCTGAATAAATGCATTATGTGCTGGGGTCAGCCTCTACTAACCGGACACGTAACATAAATTAGCTTTTATTTCAGTGAGCAAATAACTGGACATTCATCGCCAAAACTGAGAATCTGTTTAAGAACAGTATTAGTTTATCCACGATATGAAAAATGGAGTAGAGACCACTGGTTCGGCCCCCTACCCCTTATTATTAGGTAGAGTTTGCATTTGTTAAATGTGATTTTGTGCAATGTGCGGAACATCCATCAGGGAAATGTTTGACACTGACCTTTGGCGCCCTCTGGAGAATGTTTGTTGATATTTACCAAGTCTGATATTTGATCGTTATTATTACTATTTAGACACTGCTGTGCTCCTTTCTTAGCTTATTTCATTTTCTTATGCGATGTCCCTTATCAATGTCTTTTTGGCAGCGTTTCAGAGGAAACTTGTTAGAAGAAGCCGAGTCTTTTTTTATTATTATTATAATGAAAATGATGAAATAGAGCTGAATCTCCTGCTTGTATCAGTTTTATTATCATCCATAAACACATTTTAGATGTGCACAGGAGGTATGTAACGTAATACTGCATCGCAAACATTAACGTGACACAATCTGTGAGTTTCTTGTACGGACGTCTTTCAAGGTCAAAACGTACCTGTGCATTGTGTAAGGGCACATGATCCTACACCATACATCCAATCAGTTTAACACAGAATGATTAGAGGATTTACCACCATATCATCTGCTTTCTTTCCCGTTTATCTGTCCCTTCACCACAAATTTAAATTCAGTCATTCTGGAGCAAATGTTATCCCAGTGTATCGATGAGCTAGAAGGGTAGGTGGAATATCAGTACTTGTAATTATTGTATGTGGCTGCTGAAACCTCCCAAAAAACAGAGTCTCTTCTTTTCTGGTGGTACGATGGGTGTAAATAGTAGGATCAGGGAGCAGCACCTGTGATGGAATTCCCACGCTCAGAGCTATATGGAGGAGGGAAGGAAAAATACACGGTATAGTGTAGAATGTTAAGATCTTAAGTGATAGTAAATGAAGGGAAAGGAATTGTACTTACAATTTTCTGAAGCTTATATCGATGAGCTAGTTTGCATTCTCCATTTGTATTTATCATGGATATTATGCCCACATATAGCATATTCTGATCAGACATTTGGGAATCTGCATTCCCAGACATAGCATCAGATTCCATACGTTAGAATTATTTATATTGTTTAAGCTAATGTAGGGGGGAAAAAAAAATTCTGCAATATTGCAAAAAAAAGGGTTTGGTTAAATCCTAATATTTTTATCCCCCCCCACTTATTCTGCCAAGCACGAACAAGTAAATTAAAAGTAAACAAAGACAAGTGTACATTTTCCTCGGTTTTTATTGTAGATATCCCTCAACAACTTGCACATCAAATTGCTGTTTTGTGAGTTGTTTGTTTATTTGCTAATTATTCATCTGATATTTCAGTTGGTGGTGAAGGGGTTAATCTGCACCTGTCACTACCCAAACCCTCAGCTGATCTTGATCTGACTTGAATGATAATTATTCAATTCATTTATTCCAACCCCTTTGAAGGAACTGAACATGTCCTGACAGCTTGAAGAGGAGGAGAGAGAAGGGGGTGAATTCAGGACGAGGGAACGAATAAATAACATTCATTTGCTCTACGCACGCTAACAAAATTACGCTGTTTCAAAAACAAAACAAAGACAGTTCAGATGTATGGACAAAGACAAATTTCACTCACAATACATGGGTATTTTACATGTCTCTGCTGGCAGTGTAGCGCAGCCCACTATCCCAGTACAGCTGTTGTTTTGAGAATTCTCTGCTGATTTTATAGATATTTAAACTGACACCCTTCACTTAAAATAACAATTAATCTCTGCCTTGCTCAAAATGGTTCACCAACCAATTCCTGTCATTTGTTGCAGAGAAGTGATTTACTTTGCTTAGTGAATTGCAATTCCACCATTGAAGTCTACGGGGAAATTGTTATTCAGTAAGTAGCGTGAACAATTACCCTGCCAAGAGAATCCAGGATAAAGTATCACGCAAACACGCCAGAAATTAATATGTGGATATCTTTTGTTTTACACACACACACACATCACAAAAGCAGGTTTTTTCTTCACAGGAGTGCATGCTAATGGAAATGGCCACAAAATGCACTTAAAGTTCACACAAAAAATGCTTTCAAGACAATTTAAAAATGACCCATCTAAAAGGAACATTTCAAATACCGTAACCACTGTAGCACAAGTCCAGGGATTCACTCCTTGGCTGAGAGCGATCATCTGACACTCTTAGCCAATGAGTCATGGACAAAAATAAGTCCTGCGTTCAGACTCCCACTACTCCTGGGCAGCAACAACGACCATAGCACACATCGGCCCCAATACATACAGTAAAAACCAAAGGAAAAAACCAAATCACTATGCATATTTAAATAAATCAACATTATTTAGCAACTCCAATGGCCACTAAATGCAAGCCCACCTGCCACGTCAAGGCAAACCGCTTAGGTGGGTCCTACACTAACTATTGACCTTACTTCCTTCAGTTTCAAGGAAAAGATATCTCTAATGAGACAGAGAGGGGTATTTTTTATATACACCCCTATATATTTATTAACCCGTTATAGGGAACACATTGTAACCTAGCTGTGTGATACAAAAGTAAATACAAATACACAAAAATAAGTCCTGCGCTCAGACTCTCACTACTCCTGGGCAGCAGCAATGACCATAGTACACATCAGCCCAATATATACAATAAAAACCAAAGAAAAAAAGAGGAGGCGGGCAGCGGTGCCTAATGGACCGCAGGTAAGAAGCGGGAAGAGCCCTGCTGGAACCATTACCACTACCGAACTATGTAGTGGTTAGGGTGCCAGGAGAGTTCCTTTAAGCAAGAAATTATGGGATATTAGGATTTGTCAAACCGTATGACCCAGCACATCAAAATCATTTTATTTGTGTGTCCATGCACTGTTTGTTTAATGTGCATTATGTAAGTAATTTGAATTTTGTAAAAAATATATAGGTTATAACAGCAGCGCCACTATTAATACATGTGTGTTCTCTTTGTGTAATGTTTTTTTTTATGTACAGTTAATAGCCTGTTATTTTTACGTTTCATTACAAACCGTTTGGGAGTAAAAGAGTTAATGGGCTTATAGGAATAAATTATATTTACAACAGTATATTCCATTTTAATTGCTGCCCAAGGGAAACCTCTGTAGATTTCTATAAACATTTATGATGGGGACAGATTCTGATGGGAAACCTGCAGTAAGTGATATGTGCGATGGGGCACTTCCAACTTCAAGGGCCCTAGAAGCCATATGGGATTAGAATAGGTATCGGTGTTAAATTTTATTATAGGTTTGGATGCAACCGAGCCTATATTCCACAACCATAATCACTTAATAATGTTCTTAATGTAATGTATCACTGGATGCACAACACCGTTTCATAACCAAGACCACAGAACAACAGAATTTATTTCATCATCTCGGAACTCTATAAAGACAGAAACAGAAAGCTATTTCCTAGAATGGGGGAGAACTGGCTTATTATCTCCCTTGGAGAATCTCTATTTTTACAAGGAAACTCCTTCCTTACACAAGATTTGTCTGAGTCGTCACGAAATGCGTCAGGGGCTGTGACAGCAGGGAGGCTCATTTCAACCCCATGGCTCCAATAACTCTACAAAGCTATGTTGTCTTCAGTTAAACAAAGGATGGTTTAAAACAATAGACTCAGCCAGAGACTGTGCCAAACTCTCAGCCTCCAGGGTGCTGACATACACAATAAATAATTGCCATATTTACATTAAGGATGTCCTCGCTTGCCCTTTCCCGTCTCAGCTATTAAATTAATAATGGCTGGGAATCTGCGTGATATTATAAATTATCCAGAAAAGGTCTGGCCTAGTCTATAAATGCTTGATTCAGCGGCTCAATTTTGAGAGTCAAAGCAATTGAATTATTTCCAAGTTTGAAAGACTTAAAACAACTCGGATTTGCTTGTAAACTCAAAGCTTAGTAGAAAGGGGATGCACTAATGTGGCAATTGTCATAAAAGTAAAGAAAATGAATAGGTTGGGCTTGAAACTTAGCTTTGTTTGGGATTTCAGTTTCACAACCATTCAAACCTTAAATGGAAAGGGGGGAATATTAACCAGATGGGGGGAGATAAGTTGGGAAGTTACATGAGATGAACATGCATGTGAAAGATGGGGGGTATAGGTGAAATGGGTGGGAGGGGGAATACAGAATACTGGTAATAGGGCGATAGATGAACGTGGAGGTTTTGCTCTGGAGTGAAGAAGGATCCTGAGATCAGAATGGAGCGAGTGCCATATTAATGGATATCATAATAGCTTTATTTGTACTAGAACTATATGGAGGGAAAATGTCACGTCTCTGGAATTTATACTGTTTTATAAAATGTTAACAATCACCTATTGCCTGTGTTAACCTGTTTACATCGTGAGATGCTCAGTATTGTTTTAAATTTCTATTAAAGATTTACTAAATCTCAGTTATAAGCTCCGCCCTTTACACCTGGCAGTCAGCAAAGAGAGAGCATATAGAGAAAAGGAGAAATGAAACAATGTTTCTATCTCTCTATACTGACTGCCAGGTGTAAAGGGCGGAGCTTATAACAATGATTGACAGGGAGCTAAGATGGAGACGGCTCTCTCTATACTGACTGCCAGGTGTAAAGGGCGGAGCTTATAACAATGATTGACAGGGAGCTAAGATGGAGGCGGCTCTCTCTATAATGACTGCCAGGTGTAAAGGGCGGAGCTTATAACAATGATTGACAGGGAGCTAAGATGGAGGCGGCTCTCTCTATACTGACTGCCAGGTGTAAAGGGCGGAGCTTATAACAATGACTGACAGGGAGCTAAGATGGAGGTGGCTCTCTCTATACTGACTGCCAGGTGTAAAGGGCGGAGCTTATAACAATGATTGACAGGGAGCCAAGATGGAGGCGGCTCTCTCTATACTGACTGCCAGGTGTAAAGGGCGGAGCTTATAACAATGATTGACAGGGAGCTAAGATGGAGGCGGCTCTCTCTATACTGACTGCCAGGTGTAAAGGGCGGAGCTTATAACAATGATTGACAGGGAGCTAAGATGGAGGTGGCTCTTTCTATACTGACTGCCGGTTGTAATGGGCGGAGCTTATAACAATGATTGACAGGGAGCTAAGATGGAGGTGGCTCTCTCTATACTGACTGCCAGGTGTAAAGGGCGGAGCTTATAAAATTGATTGACAGGGAGCTAAGATGGAGGCGGCTCTCTCTATACTGACTGCCAGGTGTAATGGGCGGAGCTTATAACAATGATTGACAGGGAGCTAAGATGGAGGCGGCGCTCTCTATACTGACTGCCAGGTGTAATGGGCGGAGCTTATAACAATGATTGACAGGGAGCTAAGATGGAGGCGGCTCTCTCTATACTGACTGCCAGGGGTAAAGGGCAGAGCTTATAATTTGTAATTTAATTACAAAAAAAACCCATATCATGCTGAAACTGTTTTTAAAAAGTGATTTGCAAAAAACATGAAACCTGTCACGTAAAATAATATCTATGTAAGTCCATGGAAGGTTCTGAGCAGACTTCAAGTTTAAGGTGAGAATGGTCTTTACAAAGACTTTCGTATGTTTGGAATGCTCAGTAAGAGCATCGTGATTGGTTGTCTTGTAACCCAACCAATCATGCTCCCCTGATGGGCCTTTTTTAATAATAAGGCTCAGGCGCTGGACATCTCCTAAACCATTTAAGTAGGTCATTATTTTAAATAAAAGGGCCCAGGAGACTTTTAATATTGCATGCCTCTTCTATGTGTTTTATTTATCATGGAGAGACCTGATGTGCTGTCAGTGAGAGAGTCGATCAGGTCTCCCTCATTACATACTGAGCGAGTATAACCTATTAATTCGTTTTACTTTTCACTTTCAGGGCCACAGGGGACAGCAGCAAATCGTGCCACTCTCTCCGCTGCAACACTGATCGGATTAATTGCTATGGCGTAGCTCGCCTAGCCATGGTGTCACTAGGTGTTTCATTTATCCCAGTAAAATGTCTTTCCTTGAGCCTGTAAACCCACAATACCTGTCATTGAATACTAACGGTGTTGCTCTTTCCATGGTTTTCTATAAAGTTCTTAATCGATGGCTGGCATTCTATACTAATGACTATTGTCGGAATGTTACACCAGTTAGTAAATAGCAAGTGGCGCTTTAACTATTCTACAATGCTACAACGCCAAAACAACCCATCAGACTCTAGTTTCTATAAAGTGACTGTGTCACACCATACTTACTATCCCTAAATAGATTCCACTTCTCCCCATCTCTCCAAATCTGGTCTCTGTTTGTTTCATGTTCAA